AGTCAGACCCCACACAGCTATAGATATGTTCACAATCAGACTCCACACAGCTATAGATATGTTCACAATCAGACTCCACACAGCTATAGATATGTTCTCAATCAGACTCCACACAGCTATAGATATGTTCTCAATCAGACCCCACACAGCTATAGATATGTTCACAATCAGACCCCACACAGCTATAGATATGTGACTCCACACAGCTATAGATATGTTCACAATCAGACCCCACACAGCTATATATATGTTCTCAATCAGACTCCACACAGCTATAGATATGTTCTCAATCAGATCCCACACAGCTATAGATATGTTCTCAATCAGACTCCACACAGCTATAGATATGTTCTCAATCAGACCCCACACAGCTATAGATATGTTCTCAATCAGACCCCACACAGTTATAGATATGTTCTCAATCAAACTCCACACAGCTATAGATATGTTCTCAATCAGACTCCACACAGCTATAGATATGTTCTCAATCAGACTCCACACAGCTATAGATATGTTCACAATCAGACTCCACACAGCTATAGATATGTTCTCAATCAGACTCCACACAGCTATAGATATGTTCTCAATCAGACCCCACACAGCTATAGATATGTTCTCAATCAGACTCCACACAGCTATAGATATGTTCACAATCAGACTCCACACAGCTATAGATATGTTCTCAATCAGACCCCACACAGCTATAGATATGTTCACAATCAGACCCCACACAGCTATGGATATGTTCTGTCAGACCCCACACAGCTATAGATATGTTCACAATCAGACTCCACACAGCTATAGATATGTTCACAATCAGACTCCACACAGCTATAGATATGTTCTCAATCAGACTCCACACAGCTATAGATATGTTCTCAATCAGACCCCACACAGCTATAGATTTGTTCACAATCAGACCCCACACAGCTATAGATATGTGACTCCACACAGCTATAGATATGTTCACAGTCAGACCCCACACAGCTATAGATTTGTTCTCAGTCAGACCCCACACAGCTATAGATATGTTCACAATCAGACTCCACACAGCTATAGATATGTTCACAATCAGACTCCACACAGCTATAGATATGTTCTCAATCAGACTCCACACAGCTATAGATATGTTCTCAATCAGACCCCACACAGCTATAGATATGTTCTCAATCAGACCCCACACAGCTATAGATATGTTCTCAATCAGACCCCACACAGCTATAGATATGTTATCAATCAGACCCCACACAGCTATAGATATGTTCTCAATCAGACCCCACACAGCTATAGATATGTTCTCAATCAGACTCCACACAGCTACAGATATGTTCTCAATCAGACTCCACACAGCTATAGATATGTTCACAATCAGACTCCACACAGCTATAGATATGTTCTCAATCAGACTCCACACAGCTATAGATATGTTCTCAATCAGACCCCACACAGCTATAGATATGTTATCAATCAGACCCCACATAGCTATAGATATGTTCACAATCAGACTCCACACAGCTATAGATATGTTCACAATCAGACTCCACACAGCTATAGATGTGTTCTCAATCAGACCCCACACAGCTATAGATATGTTCTCAATCAGACCCCACACAGCTATAGATATGTTCTCAATCAGACTTCACACAGCTATAGATATGTTCTCAATCAGACTCCACACAGCTATAGATTTGTTCACAATCAGACTCCACACAGCTATAGATATGTTCTCAATCAGACCCCACACAGCTATAGATATGTTCACAATCAGACCCCACACAGCTATGGATATGTTCTCAGTCAGACCCCACACAGCTATAGATATGTTCACAATCAGACTCCACACAGCTATAGATATGTTCACAATCAGACTCCACACAGCTATAGATATGTTCTCAATCAGACTCCACACAGCTATAGATATGTTCTCAATCAGACCCCACACAGCTATAGATATGTTTCAATCAGACCCCACACAGCTATAGATATGTGACTCCACACAGCTATAGATATGTTCACAATCAGACCCCACACAGCTATATATATGTTCTCAATCAGACTCCACACAGCTATAGATATGTTCTCAATCAGATCCCACACAGCTATAGATATGTTCTCAATCAGACTCCACACAGCTATAGATATGTTCTCAATCAGACCCCACACAGCTATAGATATGTTCTCAATCAGACCCCACACAGTTATAGATATGTTCTCAATCAAACTCCACACAGCTATAGATATGTTCTCAATCAGACTCCACACAGCTATAGATATGTTCACAATCAGACCCCACACAGCTATAGATATGTGACTCCACACAGCTATAGATATGTTCACAGTCAGACCCCACACAGCTATGGATATGTTCTCAGTCAGACCCCACACAGCTATAGATTTGTTCACAATCAGACCCCACACAGCTATAGATATGTTCACAATCAGACTCCACACAGCTATAGATATGTTCACAATCAGACTCCACACAGCTATAGATATGTTCTCAATCAGACTCCACACAGCTATAGATATGTTCTCAATCAGACCCCACACAGCTATAGATATGTTCTCAATCAAACCCCACACAGCTATAGATATGTTCTCAATCAGACCCCACACAGCTATAGATATGTTCTCAATCAGACCCCACACAGCTATAGATATGTTCTCAATCAGACCCCACACAGCTATAGATATGTTCTCAATCAGACTCCACACAGCTACAGATATGTTCTCAATCAGACTCCACACAGCTATAGATATGTTCTCAATCAGACCCCACACAGCTATAGATATGTTATCAATCAGACCCCACACAGCTATAGATATGTTCTCAATCAGACTCCACACAGCTACAGATATGTTCTCAATCAGAATCCACACAGCTATAGATATGTTCACAATCAGACTCCACACAGCTATAGATATGTTCTCAATCAGACTCCACACAGCTATAGATATGTTCTCAATCAGACCCCACACAGCTATAGATATGTTATCAATCAGACCCCACACAGCTATAGATATGTTCACAATCAGACTCCACACAGCTATAGATATGTTCACAATCAGACTCCACACAGCTATAGATATGTTCACAATCAGACTCCACACAGCTATAGATATGTTCACAATCAGACCCCACACAGCTATAGATATGTTCTCAATCAGACCCCACACAGCTATAGATATGTTCTCAATCAGACTTCACACAGCTATAGATATGTTCTCAATCAGACTCCACACAGCTATAGATTTGTTCACAATCAGACTCCACACAGCTATAGATATGTTCTCAATCAGACCCCACACAGCTATAGATATGTTCACAATCAGACCCCACACAGCTATGGATATGTTCTCAGTCAGACCCCACACAGCTATAGATATGTTCACAATCAGACTCCACACAGCTATAGATATGTTCACAATCAGACTCCACACAGCTATAGATATGTTCTCAATCAGACTCCACACAGCTATAGATATGTTCTCAATCAGACCCCACACAGCTATAGATATGTTCACAATCAGACCCCACACAGCTATAGATATGTGACTCCACACAGCTATAGATATGTTCACAATCAGACCCCACACAGCTATATATATGTTCTCAATCAGACTCCACACAGCTATAGATATGTTCTCAATCAGATCCCACACAGCTATAGATATGTTCTCAATCAGACTCCACACAGCTATAGATATGTTCTCAATCAGACCCCACACAGCTATAGATATGTTCTCAATCAGACCCCACACAGTTATAGATATGTTCTCAATCAAACTCCACACAGCTATAGATATGTTCTCAATCAGACTCCACACAGCTATAGATATGTTCTCAATCAGACCCCACACAGCTATAGATATGTTCACAATCAGACTCCACACAGCTATAGATATGTTCTCAATCAGACTCCACACAGCTATAGATATGTTCTCAATCAGACTCCACACAGCTATAGATATGTTCACAATCAGACTCCACACAGCTATAGATATGTTCTCAATCAGACTCCACACAGCTATAGATATGTTCTCAATCAGACTCCACACAGCTATAGATATGTTCTCAATCAGACTCCACACAGCTATAGATATGTTCTCAATCAGACTCCACACAGCTATAGATATGTTCTCAATCAGACCCCACACAGCTATAGATATGTTCTCAATCAGACTCCACACAGCTATAGATATGTTCACAATCAGACCCCACACAGCTATAGATATGTTCTCAATCAGACCCCACACAGCTATAGATATGTTCTCAATCAGACCCCACACAGCTATAGATATGTTCACAATCAGACTCCACACAGCTATAGGTATGTTCACAATCAGACTCCACACAGCTATAGATATATTCTCAATAAGACTCCACACAGCTATAGACATTGAACCCTGCAGACACTGACACACTGAACCCTGCAGACACTGACACACTGAACCCTGCAGACACACTCAACCCTGCAGACACTGACACATGCAACCCTGCAGACACTGACACACTGAACTCTGCAGACACTGACACACTGAACCCTGCAGACACTGACACACTGAACCCTGCATACAATGACACACTGAACCCTGCAGACACTGACACACTGAACCCTGCAGACACTGACACACTGAACCCTGCAGACACTGACCCCTGCAGACACTGACACACTGAACCCTGCAGACACTGACCCCTGCAGACACTGACACACTGAACCCTGCAGACACTGACACACTGAACTCTGCAGACACTGACCCCTGCAGAAACTGACACACTGAAACCTGCAAACATTGACCTTTTGAGCCCTGCAGACACTGACACACTGAACCCTGCAGACACTGACCCCTGCAGAAACTGACACACTGAACCCTGCAGACACTGACACATTGAACCCTGCAGACACTGACCCCTGCAGAAACTGACACACTGAAACCTGCATACATTGACCTTTTGAGCCCTGCAGACACTGACACAATGATGGAGAGACAGTGACACTTCAGGGTTTTTGTGGAGACACAGTGATGGCATCGATTGGTTGATCTGCTCTAAACTGGACTCCAGGAGTCTCCTCCTCCTCGTCGTCATAGAGATGTGTGTCATCATCATCAGGATCAACATTCTGTGGAGTGGCTGCCTGGGAGGGGGTGGGAGAGCCAGGCTCTGAGGCAGGCTTGGCCAGCTTGAAGTCTTTCTTGTCCTAGAGGAGCAGATGTCAACAACATCATCATCATTATCATAGGCAGACTTTCCAACACATGAAGTAACACAAACAGTCTGGCTGGCTCATTTAGAGAGAAGGAAACCCAATCAGCTATTACTGAGTGCCTACAATCAATGAGGATCAGGCTGTAGTGATAAAGAAAGATCAAGACATAGACTTAATTTTTTGTTTTTTAAATATCCAGAAACCATGAGTTAACAACTCTTTGGCTCAGTACTATGGATATCAAACCCTTCAGCCTTGATTCCAGGATAGATACCGTAAATCGGAGAAATGTGGCTTTTCTGTAAACCCCCAACCCATACGGAGTTCAGTTCATCACCCGGTCACCACGAAGTCAGGTTTAACTGACTACGCTAGCGAGCCGCGCTCACAGACTGATAAGTTGATACTATTTCCAGTATTTTAATATACTCTCAGTCACTGCTTTTATTAACTATAAGTTAGCTGCAGATCCTTTACAAGATGTTGCAGAACCAACCCCAGCATTTTTTAGCTGTTGTGGTTTTTCTAGGTAAATTTTATGTTCAGTAGTTTGCCATTGTTCCTGAATGGTCAGCTCTCAGTACCAGGGTCGAAACCAATGCAGGAAAAATCGTCTGTAGCTGGGATCAAATCTGGCACCCTGCCATTACGAAGCATGTTTGCAACGCTTAAGCCACAGATGCCGACTTAACTCCTTGAGTCCCAAGAAACGCAAGATGCACCGATTTTACATATCTCTTGACTACCCCTTGGGCCGGTGATGCTAAAGCCTCTGGGACTCAAAGAGTTAACCATATACGACTGTAATATACATTTTTAGCCATTCTTTCTCTATTGCAGTGATCACAATCAGTGCTCCAAACAGGCTTACGAGCTCCAGGAGCACTTTCCATGGTCCCGTCCAGGATCATTTCCTAAGGTCCCATCTAGGAAATTAAATTTTAAAAAATATATATAACAGTATTAAATATATTCTAAACGAAAGTTTGCCAAGGTGAATGCCAGGTCTCTTGTCTGAGAAATAAAAATTAGTATTGCTGCCTTTCTCAGCAAGTATTTCTGTGAAACGGGAATTCTGTCTAAATATACCAAAACAAAATACAGAAGACGCTTAAATGCACAATCACTCACCTGCAAATATCAGCAACTGACCTTTACCCGCCCCCAATTGCAGCCTCAGCAATATAAGATTAATTGACATTTCATTAAACATGTATACCTGTAAGACGTATAGACCTTATTTGTACAAAATATCATATTTCTTTAAAATTTCACTGACATTAGAGTCCATACTTTCTACAACACTAACATACTATCTCACAATCTCCGCAGCTCAAATATACCTTCACAAACTCTCTACAACACTAACATACTATCTCACAATCTCTGCAGCTCAAATATACCTTCACAAACTTTCTACAACACTAACATACTATCTTTGAGATTTCACTGACATTAGAGTCCATACTTTCTACAACACTAACATGCTATCTCACAATCTCTGCAGCTCAAATATACCTTCACAAACTATCTACAACACTAACATACTATCTCACAATCTCTGCAACTCAAATATACCCCCACAAACTATCTACAACACTAACATACTATCTCACAATCTCCGCAGCTCAAATATACCTTCACAAACTCTCTACAACATTAACATACTATCTCACAATCTCCGCAGCTCAAATATACCTTCACAAACTCTCTACAACACTAACATACTATCTCACAATCTCCGCAGCTCAAATATACCTTCACAAACTCTCTACAACACTAACATACTATCTCACAATCTCCGCAGCTCAAATATACCTTCACAAACTCTCTACAACACTAACATACTATCTCACAATCTCTGCAGCTCAAATAATCACAAACCTCTACAACAAACTCTCTACAAACACTCACATATACCTCACAAATCTACACAACATACTATCTCACAATCTCCGCAGCTCAAATATACCTTCACAAACTCTCTACAACACTAACATACTATCTCACAATCTCCGCAGCTCAAATATACCTTCACAAACTTTCTACAACACTAACATACTATCTTTGAGATTTCACTGACATTAGAGTCCATACTTTCTACAACACTAACATACTATCTCACAATCTCCGCAGCTCAAATATACCTTCACAAACTTTCTACAACACTAACATACTATCTCACAATCTCCGCAGCTCAAATATACCTTCACAAACTTTCTACAACACTAACATACACTCACTGACATACTATCTCACAATCTCTGCAGCTCAAATATACCTCCACAAACTCTCTACAACACTAACATACTATCTCACAATCTCCGCAGCTCAAATATACCTTCACAAACTCTCTACAACACTAACATACTATCTCACAATCTCTGCAGCTCAAATATACCTTATACCTCTCAACACTAACATACTATCTTCTACAACACTCTACAACACATACTATCTCACAATCTCCGCAGCTCAAATATACCTTCACAAACTCTCTACAACACTAACATACTATCTCACAATCTCCGCAGCTCAAATATACCTTCACAAACTTTCTACAACACTAACATACTATCTCACAATCTCCGCAGCTCAAATATACCTCCACAAACTCTCTACAACACTAACATACTATCTCACAATCTCCGCAGCTCAAATATACCTTCACAAACTCTCTACAACACTAACATACTATCTCACAATCTCCGCAGCTCAAATATACCTTCACAAACTCTCTACAACACTAACATACTATCTCACAATCTCCCACAGCTCAAATATATATACCTTCACAAACATCTCTACAACACAGCTCAATATAGAGTCACAAACTCTCTACAACACTAACATACTATCTCACAATCTCCGCAGCTCAAATATACCTTCACAAACTCTCTACAACACTAACATTCTATCTCACAATCTTTGCAACTCAAATATACCTTCACAAACTTTCTACAACACTAACATACTATCTCACAATCTCCACAGCTCAAATATACCTTCACAAACTCTCTACAACACTAACATACTATCTCACAATCTCCGCAGCTCAAATATACCTTCACAAACTTTCTACAACACTAACATACTACTTTCAATCTCCGCACTCAAACATACTCACAAACTTTCTACAACACTAACATACTATCTCACAATCTATGCAGCTCAAATATACCTCCACAAACTCTCTACAACACTAACATACTATCTCACAATCTCCGCAGCTCAAATATACCTTCACAAACTCTCTACAACACTAACATACTATCTCACAATCTCCGCAGCTCAAATATACCTTCACAAACTCTCTACAACACTAACATACTATCTCACAATCTCCGCAGCTCAAATATACCTTCACAAACTTTCTACAACACTAACATACTATCTCACAATCTCCGCAGCTCAAATATACCTTCACAAACTCTCTACAACACTAACATACTATCTCACAATCTCTCTCCGCAGCTCAAATATACCATACTATCACAAACTCTCTACAACACTAACACATACTATCTCACAATCTCCGCAGCTCAAATATATACTTTCTACAACCTAACATCTATCTCACAAACAGCTCAAATATACAAACTCTCTACAACACTAACATACTATCTCACAATCTCCGCAGCTCAAATATACCTTCACAAACTCTCTACAACACTAACATACTATCTCACAATCTCCGCAGCTCAAATATACCTTCACAAACTCTCTACAACACTAACATACTATCTCACAAATCAAATATACCTTCACAAACTTTCTACAGCTCACAAATATACTTCTACAACACTAACACAAAGCTCAAATATACCTCTACAACACTAACATACTATCTCACAATCTCCGCAGCTCAAATATACCTTCACAAACTCTCTACAACACTAACATACTATCTCACAATCTCCGCAGCTCAAATATACCTTCACAAACTTTCTACAACACTAACATACTATCTCACAATTTCACAGACAAATATAGAGTCCATACTCTCTACAACACTAACATACTATCTCACAATCTCCGCAGCTCAAATATACCTTCACAAAAACTCTCTACAACACTAACATACTATCTCACAATCTCCGCAGCTCAAAATATACAAACTCTCACAAACTCTCTACAACACTAACATACTATCTCACAATCTTTCTACAGCTCAAATATACCTCTCACAAACTCTCTACAACACTAACATACTATCTCAATCTCAAACTCTCTACAACACTAACATACTATCTCACAATCTCTGCAGCTCAAATATACCTTCACAAACTCTCTACAACACTAACATACTATCTCACAATCTCCGCTCTACAAATATACCAATCTCCGCAGCTCAAATAACTCTCTACAACACTAACATACTATCTCACAATCTCCTGCAGCTCAAATATACCTTCACAAACTTTCTACAACACTAACATACTATCTCACAATCTTTCACAGCTCAAATATACCTTCACAAACTTTCTACAACACTAACATACTATCTCACAATCTCTGCAGCTCAAATATACCTTCACAAACTCTCTACAACACTAACATACTATCTCACAATCTCCGCATATACTCACAAACTTTCTACAACACTAACATACTATCTCACAATCTCCTGCAGCTCAAATATACCTTCACAAACTTTCTACAACACTAACTACTATCTCACAATCTCCACAGCTCATATAATCACATACTTTCTACAACACTAACATTCTATCTCACAATCTCCACAGCTCAAATATACCTCCACAAACTTTCTACAACACTAACATACTATCTCACAATCTCCGCAGCTCAAATATACCTTCACAAACTTTCTACAACACTAACATACTATCTCACAATCTCCGCAGCTCAAATATACCTCCACAAACTCTCTACAACACTAACATACTATCTCACAATCTCCGCAGCTCAAATATACCTTCACAAACTCTCTACAACACTAACATACTATCTCACAATCTCCGCAGCTCAAATATACTTTCTACAACAAACATCTCACAATCTCCGCACAACACTACAACATACTATCTCACAATCTCCGCAGCTCAAATATACCTTCACAAACTTTCTACAACACTAACATACTATCTCACAATCTCCGCAGCTCAAATATACCTTCACAAACTTTCTACAACACTAACATACTATCATCTCCGCAGCTCAAATATACCTCCACATACTATCTACAACAGAGGAAAATACTCACAATCTCCGCAGCTCAAATATACCTTCACAAACTCTCTACAACACTAACATACTATCTCACAATCTCCGCAGCTCAAATATACCTCCACAAACTCTCTACAACACTAACATACTATCTCACAATAGTACTACAAGCAGAGAAAAACAACAATGATAGCATATACTACAAACAACAATGATAGCAGGTGTAGTACTACAAGCAGAGGAAAAAAACAACAATGATAGCAGGTGTAGTACTACAAGCAGAGGAAATAAACAACAATGATAGCAGGTGTAGTACTACAAGCAGAGGAAAAACAACAACAATGATAGCAGGTGTAGTACTACAAGCAGAGGAAAACAACAACAATGATAGCAGGTGTAGTACTACAAGCAGAGGAAAACAACAACAATGATAGCAGGTGTAGTACTACAAGCAGAGGAAAACAACAACAATGATAGCAGGTGTAGTACTACAAGCAGAGGAAATAAACAACAATGATAGCAGGTGTAGTACTACAAGCAAAGGAAAAACAACAACAATGATAGCAGGTGTAGTACTACAAGCAGAGGGAAATAAACAACAATGATAGCAGGTGTAGTACTACAAGCAGAGGGAAATAAACAACAATGATAGCAGGTGTAGTACTACAAGCAGAGGAAAAAAACAACAATGATAGCAGGTGTAGTACTACAAGCAGAGGAAAAAAACAACAATGATAGCAGGTGTAGTACTACAAGCAGAGGAAATAAACAACAATGATAGCAGGTGTAGTACTACAAGCAGAGGAAAAAAACAACAATGATAGCAGGTGTAGTACTACAAGCAGAGGAAATAAACAACAATGATAGCAGGTGTACAACTGTAACATGCCAACTGTTCTCCCCATCTAAAGCCACAACCCTGTTCAACTTGTGTTTGTGCTCTACTAGCTACACTTCCGTGTTTTTTCACCCAGTCTTTACAAATTAACTGACTCAAGACACAGTGCCATAAAACAGAGAAAGCTGTTCCTTATTACTCATAGAATATAAAGGTTTAAACACAATGTGTGATCTAAACTGATTAGCTGGTTGACAATTCTCAACATTTCAAACTATTAGGCCCTGTATGAGATGATAGAACAAAAAAATTTTGATGTTTCACTCGACAAGCAAGCAGAACACTCATTCTAAAGAGAGACAGAGAGACAAATGTGGGAACAGATCATTAACTATCATCAAGTGCCTTCCTGACTAGTGTGGGTGATTATGTCTCTCTAATCTGCAATCTTCCACAGCATTTATCAGTTCACTTTCACAACCCTTCCTGTGCCATAGCAAAAGTCTGTCGCGAACTGCTCCATGTTGCTTTCCTCTGCCTCTTTTTTTCTGAAATCTTTTCAGTCGTCAAAACATGTTTCAGTTTCCTACCTCTCAAAACACGTTTCAGTTTCCTACTTCTCAAAACATGTTTCAGTTCCTACTTCTCAAAACATGTTTCAGTTTCCTACTTCTCAAAACATGTTTCAGTTTCCTACTTCTCAAAACAAGTTTTAGTTTCCTACTTCTCAAAACATGTTTTAGTTTCCCACTTCTCAAAACATGTTTTAGTTTCCTACTTCTCAAAACATGTTTTAGTTTCCTACTTCTCAAAACATGTTTTAGTTTCCTACTTCTCAAAACATGTTTTAGTTTCCTACTTCTCAAAACATGTTTCAGTTTCCCACTTCTCAAAACATGTTTTAGTTTCCTACTTCTCAAAACATGTTTTAGTTTCCTACTTCTCAAAACATGTTTTAGTTTCCTACTTCTCAAAACAAGTTTTAGTTTCCTACTTCTCAAAACATGTTTTAGTTTCCTACTTCTTAAAACAAGTTTTAGTTTCCTACTTCTCAAAACATGTTTTAGTTTCCTACTTCTTAAAACAAGTTTTAGTTTCCTACTTCTCAAAACAAGTTTAAGTTTCCTACTTCTCAAAACATGTTTTAGTTTCCCTACTTCTCAAAACATGTTTTAGTTTCCCTACTTCTCAAAACACGTTTCCGTTTCCGACTTCTCAAAACAAGTTTTAGTTTCCTACTTCTCAAAACATGTTTCAGTTTCCTACTTCTCAAAACAAGTTTTAGTTTCCTACTTCTCAAAACATGTTTCAGTTTCCTACTTCTTAAAACATGTTTCACTTTCCCACTTCTCAAAACATGTTTCAGTTTCCTACTTCTTAAAACATGTTTCAGTTTCCTACTTCTTAAAACATGTTTCAGTTTCCTACTTCTTAAAACATGTTTCAGTTTCCTACTTCTCAAAACATAACCAAAAAATGATGACTTTCTGTTTCGGATGTTTGCGATCAGTTAAATCTGTCATAAAGATTGAGTAGCTATTTTGGCTGTCCAAGGAATTCTATAGATTCTTATACAAAACCACATCTCTGAGGCCTCAAGAAATTCTATGGATTCTTATACAAAACCACATCTCTGAGGCCTCAAGAAATTGTTCAGCTTATTTAACTCTTTGAGTCCCAGGGGGTTTAGCATCACAGGCCCAAGGGGTAGTCAAGAGAGGTAAAATCGGCGCATCTTGCGTTCATTGGGCTTCTAGGTGGGAATCTATGTTCGATGCGTTCCTTGGGACTCAAAGAGTTAATAATTGTTCAGGATTCACAGACATATGTTTTATGTAAAATATGTCTAGATGTGTTGGGCCAGAAGGTGCATATACTACAGCATTGCTGTAAAGTACAAAACAACATACCCCTTGTTTTTGTTTTTAGAATGAACCCAGAATAAAAATATTCAAAAGGAAACAACAGATAGAAACAACTCACAATTCCTAGATTTTTCCAGTCGAGCAGTTCGCTGAGTCTCTCTGTCCGGTTTCTCTGAACAATCCTCTGGCGTCGAGACAACGAAGCAAAATCAAACATGAACTGTCCGTGAAAACAGAAAAAAATAACAAGGTAGTTACAACATAGGTACTATAAAAAAAATTCCATTTGCTAGAATCAGAAAATCTGTGACATGTGACACAATACAATCATACATAAGCAGGCCAGTAATTTTCCATCTGAGTGTATTAAATGTAATTTCTACAGATGAAAACTAGTTTCATCAAATAAACTCCTGAAATTACAACATTTGTATCACAGCTTTATGGCGTGAGGTGAACAGCTCCCTTTAACATGACCAAGGCAAGATGAGATTATAAATGCATTTATTCTTGTATTCTCAGTATTTGTCCGGGTTGAATATTGTTCATGTCCCCCCTATATGACAACTTGCACATGGAACCTCATGGGGTTTTTGCCACCCTTATCTGAGAAGGCTAGGCATGAGATGTCACCATCCAAGGGTTCACGGAGGGATGTGTGATATCATTAGAGAACAAGGTTCTTGCAAAAATGTCCGTCAGGTCAGAGAATATGTGAACACAGCTGACAATCTGTATCTAAGTGAGATTGTATATGAACTAAAGCCTGCTACCAGCAAGACCTGACAATCTGTATCTAAGTGAGATTGTATATGAACTAAAGCCTGCTACCAGCAAGACCTGACAATCTGTATCTAAGTGAGATTGTATATGAACTACAGCCTGCTACCACCAGGACCTGACAATCTGTATCTAAGTGAGATTGTATATGAACTACAGCCTGCTACCACCAGGACCTGACAATCTGTATCTAAGTGAGATTGTATATGAACTACAAGCCTGCTACCAGCAGGACCTGACAATCTGTATCTAAGTGAGATTGTAAATGAACTACAGCCTGCTACCAGCAAGACCTGACAATCTGTATCTAAGTGAGATTGTATATGAACTACAGCCTGCTACCAGCAGGACCTGACAATCTGTATCTAAGTGAGATTGTATATGAACTACAGCCTGCTACCACCAGGACCTGACAATTTGTATCTAAGTGAGATTGTATATGAACTACAGCCTGCTACCAGCAGGAACATCTGTTGTGGCTACATGCTAGTTCTGTATAACTAGGGCACTGGAACCACATACCTGGTAAGTGCCTAGGATTTGTGACTTTACCTCTGTTCTCTCATATACTCATTCCACACACATATACCCTCCCCCATTCACACACACACATACATACCCACACCCACCCATAATCCTGCCCATCCACACACAAACCTATGTACACACACCCACCTTCATTCCCGCTACACACGCACATACCAATCCATCTTCAGCCACACACATCTACCCTCCACACATCCACATACACTGACATACCAATGCATCACACAAACACTTGCCCCCCTCCCCATCACCACACACAAATACACACCCACCCATCCACACACACTCTCATCCATCCACACACACTCTCATCCATCTACACACACTCTCATCCATCCACACACATACACATATCTATACTGTGTTAGCATCTGCCCCCTCACCTGTGCCAGTTCACCCACAGAATCCTCGGGGCTCTTGTAGCGCCTGTCCACAATGTAGATGCCATAAGACTTGGGCTCCTGGATGTGTTCCTGCATGAAGCAGCCAAAGCCGGACAGGTTGGTGGTGATGCTGGGTATACCCATCACCGTACATTCGGCTGTGGACAGACACAAGTCACAGGTGTCAGTCAATGACCACATACACACCATATACTCTCGTCTGTGGGCAGACACAAGTCACAGGTGTCAGTCAATGACCACATACACACCGTACACTTGTCTGTGGACAGACACAAGTCCCAGGTGTCAATCAATGACCACATACACACCGTACACTCTGGTGTGGGCAGACACAAGTCACAGGTGTCAATCAATGACCACATACACACCGTATACACTCGACTGTGGGCAGACACAAGTCACAGGTGTCAATCAATGACCACATACACACCGTATACTCTCGACTGTGGGCAGACACAAGTCACAGGTGTCAGTCAATGACCACATACACACCATTCACTTGTCTGTGGACAGACACAAGTCACAGATGTCAATCAATGACCACATACACACCATTCACTTGTCTGTGGACAGACACAAGTCACAGATGTCAATCAATGACCACATACACACCGTATACTCTCGACTGTGGACAGACACAAGTCACAGGTGTCAGTCAATGACCACATACACACCGTATACTCTCGTCCGTGGGCAGACACAAGTCACAGGTGTCAGTCAATGACCACATACACACCGTATACACTCGACTGTGGGCAGACACAAGTCACAGGTGTCAATCAATGACCACATACACACCATATACTCTCGTCTGTGGGCAGATTATTGGAATGATTGGTGTCAATGATCATACAGTCTACATGCCCTCTTATTACCTTCTATCCCATCATCATCATTAAGAGCCTTGCTCAGTTGTGAAGGTGGCCATGTCTCTTCACAGGTGCCGGTCTCTAACAACCTGTATCAGTTTATGTGCTGATGCCATGGCAACAGTTTCTACAAATTCACAGATGCTATATTATCACTTTGCTACACCTGTCTTACTGTCTGCTTGTGTTAGTTGGTAGTAAGACTCTAGAACACTGAGATTACTTATTTGAGTGTGAAACAGATTGTCTTATCTCTTATCTGTGTATGTCACTGATGACTGCTGGGTACAGCAACTTGCTGCCACCTAACAGAGATGTTGAAACTGCTAATTACAAATCAACAAAGGAGACAAGAGCTACTGTATAAAAACAGTCAAACGTGCTACAGTATAACAACAGTTAAACATGATACAGTATAACAACAGTCAAATGCGCTAAAGTATAACTACAGTCATGTGTGCTACAGTATAACAACAGTCATATGTGCTACAGTATAACAACAGTCAAATGTGCTACAGTATAACAACATTCAAATGTGCTACAGTATAACAACAGTCAAACTTGCTACAGTACAACAACAGTCAAATGTGCTACAGTATAACAACAGTCAAACTTGCTACAGTACAACAACAGTCAAATGTGCTACAGTATAACAACAGTCAAACATGCTACAGTATAACAACAGTCATGTGTGCTACAGTATAACAACAGTTATATGTGCTACAGTATAACAACAGTCAAATGTGCTACAGTATAACAACAGTCAAACGTGCTACAGTATAACAACAGTCAAGTGTGCTACAGTATAACAACAGTCAAACTTGCTACAGTACAACAACAGTCAAATGTGCTACAGTATAACAACAGTCAAACTTGCTACAGTGCAACAACAGTCAAATGTGCTACAGTATAACAAGTCAAACGTGCTAAAGTAAAACAACAGTGAAATGTGCTAAAGTATAACAAGTCAAACATGCTAAAGTAAAACAACAGTCAAACGCGCTAAAGTAAAACAACAGTCATATGTGCTACAGTATAACAACAGTCAAACGTGCTACAGTATAACAACAGTCAAACGTGCTAAAGTATAACAACAGTCAAACATGCTACAGTATAACAACAGTCAAACGGTGCTACAGTATAACAACAGTCAAACATGCTACAGTATAACAACAGTCAAACGGTGCTACAGTATAACAACAGTCAAACAAGCTACAGTATAACAACAGTCAAACATGCTACAGTATAACAACAGTCAAACGGTGCTACAGTATAACAACAGTCAAAAATGCTACAGTATAACAGTCAAACGGTGCTACAGTATAACAACAGTCAAACATGCTACAATATAAAAAACAGTAAAACATGCTACAGTATAACAACAGTAAAACATGCTACAGTATAACAACAGTCAAACATGCTACAATATAAAAAACAGTAAAACATGCTTAGAAGAATAGCTGAACCCCAGCACTTGCTAGAATCACAAAACTGGGCCTGTTTTCTGTGAAACTGCCCGGCCCATAGAAGTTAGACAAGGAGTGTTAGAATTTTATCAGCTGCCAATATGAAAGAGCACAGCAGGGCAGTGGCTAGGTGTGCTAACTTGCTGGCTCAAAGTCTTGAGTTCAAACACATCTGGGGCACAGTTGTTTTTACTGACTGAAGGCTCCCAGGCTGACCCACCCACAAACAGGTATCAGGAATCCCATGGGAAGTAAAGGCAGCTGGTGTGATGTTGACCACATCAACTAACAAGGGCTGAATGGCGTATAACAATCTTAGCCTAACATCACATTCAGGTCACACAAGGGATATAACAATCTGAGCCTAACATCACATTCAGGTCACACATGGCATATAACAATCTGAGCCTAACATCACATTCAGGACACACATGGCATATAACAATCTGAGCCTAACATCACATTCAGGACACACATGGCATATAACAATCTGAGCCTAACATCACATTCAGGTCACACATGGCATATAACAATCTGAAGCTAAAATCACATTCAGGACACACATGGCATATAACAATCTGAGCCTAACATCACATTCAGGTCACACATGGCATATAACAATCTGAAGCTAACATCACATTCAGGTCACTCATGGCATATAACAACCTGAGCCTAACATCACATTCAGGTCACACATGGCATATAACAATCTGAGCCTAAGATCACATTCAGGACACACATGGCATGAAAAGGCTCTTTACACTTTAAAAAATATAAATACAGTGAAGATCGCTTAAGTTGATCTTGAATGTGACAAATTTCTGTTGTAAAGAACAATTTGTTTATCCAGGTAATTTTTTTCTCGATATCTTATATGGATAAGAGTAATTTCTGATAAGAAGAACTATTTTTTGGGCCCCGTGTGAGTTATCTTTATCAGGTCTGCACTGTACTGCCAAACTACTGCCTGGCTGTGAATTTTTCTCCTAAATCAGAATAAGACAACTACAAATGTATTGTCACATACTCAGACAAGATCATCAGGACAACAAAGGCTAAGGTTGACAGAGGGAGGTAGTGACGGTGTCACAGGGAGGTAGTGACAGATGGTGTCACAGGGAGGTAGTGACAAATGGTGTCACATGGAGGTGGAGAGAGATGGTGTCACCGGTAGGTATTGACAAATGGTGTCACAGGGAGGTAGTGACAGATGGTTTCACAGGGAGGTGGAGAGAGATGGTGTCACAGGGAGGTAGTGACAGATGGTTTCACAGGGAGGTGGAGAGAGACGGTGTCACAGGGAGGTAGTGACAGATGGTGTCACAGGGAGGTAGTGACAGATGATTTCACAGGGAGGTAGAGACAGATGGTGTCACAGGGAGGTAGTGACAGATGGTGTCACAGGGAGGTAGTGACAAATGGTGTCGCAGGAAAGTGGAGAGAGATGGTGTCACCGGGAGGTATTGACAAATGGTTTCATAGGGAGGTAGTGACAAATGGTGTCACAGGGAGGTGGAGAGAGATGGTGTCACAGGGAGGTAGTGACAAATGGTGTTACAGGGAGGTGGAGAGAGATGGTGTCACAGGGAGGTAGTGACAGATGGTTTCCTAGGGAGGTAGTGACAAATGGTGTCACAGGGAGGTGGAGAGAGATGGTGTCACATGGAGGTAGTGACAAATGGTGTCACAGGGAGGTGGAGAGAGATGGTGTCACAGGGAGGTAGTGACAAATGGTGTCACAGGGAGGTGGAGAGAGATGGTGTCACAGGGAGGTGGAGAGAGATGGTGTCACAGGAGGTGGAGAGAGATGGTGTCACAGGGAGGTAGTGACAGATGGTTTCATAGGGAGGTAGTGACAAATGGTGTCACAGGGAGGTGGAGAGAGATGGTGTCACAGGGAGGTAGTGACAAATGGTGTCACAGGGAGGTGGAGAGAGATGGTGTCACAGGGAGGTAGTGACAAATGGTGTCACAGGGAGGTGGAGAGAGATGGTGTCACAGGGAGGTAGTGACAAATGGTGTCACAGGGAGGTGGAGAGAGATGGTGTCACAGGAAGGTAGTGACAAATGGTGTCACAGGGAGGTGGAGAGAGATGGTGTCACAGGGAGGTAGTGACAAATGGTGTCACAGGGAGGTAGTGACAAATGGTGTCACAGGGAGGTAGTGACAAATGGTGTCACAGGGAGGTGGAGAGAGTTGGTGTCACAGGGAGGTAGTGACAAATGGTGTCATAGGGAGGTGGAAAGAGATGGTGTCACAGGGAGGTGGAGAGAGAATGAACGAACGAACAAACTTTATTTTTAAAGGGTTAAGAATTCACAGGGAGGTGGAGAGAGATGGTGTCACAGGGAGGTAGTGACAGATGGTGTCACAGGGAGGTAGTGACAGATGGTGTCACAGGGAGGTGGAGAGAGATGGTGTCACAGGGAGGTAGTGACAGATGGTGTCACAGGGAGGTGGAGAGAGATGGTGTCACAGGGAGGTGGAGAGAGATGGTGTCGCAGGGAAGTGGAGAGAGATGGTGTCACCGGGAGGTATTGACAAATGGTGTCACAGGGAGGTAGTGACAAATGGTTTCACAGGGAGGTAGTGACAGATGGTTTCACAGGGAGGTAGTGACAGATGGTTTCACAGGGAGGTGGAGACAGATGGTATCACAGGGAGGTAGTGACAGATGGTGTCACTGGAAGGTGGAGAGAGATGGTGTCACAGGGAGGTAGTGACAGATGGTTTCATAGGGAGGTGGAGAGAGATGGTGTCACAGGGAGGTAGTGACAGATGGTTTCATATGGAGGTAGTGACAAATGGTGTCACAGGGAGGTGGAGAGAGATGGTGTCACAGAGAGGTAGTGACAAATGGTGTCACAGGGAGGTGGAGAGAGATGGTGTCACAGGGAGGTGGAGAGAGATGGTGTCACAGGGAGGTAGTGACAGATGTTGTCACAGGGAGGTAGTGACAGATGGTGTCACAGAAAGGCGTGGCAGATGGTTAGTGAGAACACTGAGGACAGATTCTAGGGTGGGAACATAATTATATTTGCTGTTCATCACAGCACATGATGATGATTGACAACAAGTGATGTTTATTACAAGCCACACACAATGACTGCGTACACTGACGACGACATTTTATTGTCAATAAGAAGATGACACAAGATCATCCCCATTAGAGAGGCTCTCAAACAAGATTTCCTACCTGGTGTGTAGCCCCATGGCTCATAGTAGCTGGGGAAGACCCCAAGATGGCAGCCTCGAACAAAGTCTTCGTAGTCCAGGGCAAACAGAGGGTTCGTGGAGTTGAGGAATTCTGGGTGAAAGATGATCTGTGGGCAGACGAGAACACACTTACTGACACAACTGTAGACCCCGCCTAAGAGCTTACCATTCTAATTATCTGAGCAGCCGCTTCTTTCATCACAAGAATATCACCACTACATCAGTGTCAGTATATCACCACTACATCAGTGTCAGTACATTACCACTAAATCAGTATCAGTATATCCCCACTACATCAGTGTCAGTATATCACCACTACATCAGTGACAGTATATCACTACTACATCAGTGTCAGTATATCACAACTACATCAGTGTCAGTATATCACCACTACATCAGTGTCAGTATATCACCACTACATCAGTGTCAGTATATCACCACTACATCAGTGTCAGTATATCACCACTACATCAGTGTCAGTATATCACCACTACATCAGTGTCAGTATATCACCACTACATCAGTGTCAGTATATATCACCACTACATCAGTGTCAGTATATCACCACTACATCAGTGTCAGTATATCACCACTACATCAGTGTCAGTATATCACCAACTACATCAGTGTCAGTATATCACCACTACATCAGTGTCAGTATATCACCACTACATCAGTGTCAGTATATCACCACTACATCAGTGTCAGTATATCACCACTACATCAGTGTCAGTATATCACCACTACATCAGTGTCAGTATATCACCACTACATCAGTGTCAGTATATCACCACTACATCAGTGTCAGTATATCACCACTACATCAGTGTCAGTATATCACCACTACATCAGTGTCAGTATATCACCACTACATCAGTGTCTGTATATCACCACTACATCAGTGTCAGTATATCACCACTACATCAGTGTCAGTATATCACCACTACATCAGTGTCAGTATATCACCCAAATATAGCTGCCACATATCATCCCCACTACATCAGTGTCAGTATATCACCACTACATCAGTGTCAGTATATCACCACTACATCAGTGTCAGTATATCACCCACATATAGCTGCCACATATTATTCCCACCTCGGTATGATAATCACAACAAGTGAACAGCTGAGAGGCAACTCCAGTCCACAAACAGCAATTCACATTTAGACTGTCATTTAAGAATACAGTTGGAATCATTGATAAACTCAGGAGCTGTTTCCATTGGCTGACACAAGAGGCCTGGTGGCTCTCTTAGCAAGTACTTACATGGCTCTATTGACAGGGACTGCTCCAGTGGCAGATGCTGAGTGAGAGGGCACGCTAACAACAGAAAGTAAACATGAAAACAAACATTCGGAAAAGATGCTAGTTTCAGAATAAAAGACTCTAGCAAGCAAACAAATGTAGAGGAGATGTCTGACAGTTTTACCACTAGTGTGTTATTAGAGTGACCAGTAAATAAAACGTGTCCTGCTGAGAAGTAGAGGAGATGTCTGACAGTTTTACCACTAGTGTGTTATTAGAGTGACCAGTAAATAAAACGTGTCCTGCTGAGAAGTAGAGGAGATGTCTGACAGTTTTACAACTAGTGTGTTATTAGAGTGACCAGTAGAACGTGTCCTGCTGAGAAGTAGAGGAGATGTCTGACAGTTTTACCACTAGTGTGTTATTAGAGTGACCAGTAAATAAAACGTGTCCTGCTGAGAAGTAGAGGAGATGTCTGACAGTTTTACAACTAGTGTGTTATTAGAGTGACCAGTAGAACGTGTCCTGCTGAGAAGTAGAGGAGATGTCTGACAGTTTTACCACTAGTGTGTTATTAGAGTGACCAGTAAATAAAACGTGTCCTGCTGAGAAGTAGAGGAGATGTCTGACAGTTTTACAACTAGTGTGTTATTAGAGTGACCAGTAGAACGTGTCCTGCTGAGAAGTAGAGGAGATGTCTGACAGTTTTACCACTAGTGTGTTATTAGAGTGACCAGTAAATAAAAAGTGTCCTGCTGAGAAGTAGAGGGAGACGACGCACCTATGGGGTTTGCCTGCATTGCTACGATGACTATTCTTCTCAAAACCAAACTGGATCACATCAGACCATACTAGCAGTACCAGGCCAGTTTTCAGGGTTTCCTAATCAAGTAATCCTATAACAGTTTCAACTACAGAGTTGCCGAGACAATCAGATGTACCAGGTCACAAATCTGAGGATGAAATGGCTAATTCTCTTCCTCAGCACAGAGATAACCCAGAGATAACCCAGAGATAACCCAGAGATAACCCAGAGATAACCCAAAGATAACCCAGAGATAACCCAGAGATAACCCAAAGATAACCCAGAGATAACCCAGAGATAACCCAGAGATAACCCAGAGATAACCCAGAGATAATACCAATCTGCTACCTAAGTGTTGACAAACTGGACACAATTACTGTCAAGAGGTAGCTTACTTTCACTCTGTCATGGCGGTTGTTGAAGAGGCTACATTTGCGTATCTGGTTGAGAACTTGGTCGTTGGAGTCCTCTACAACATTGTGGGTGCAAATTGGGGGAAGACTGTGCCTCTGTTAACATAACAGAAGGACATGTGATCATACAGCATGTGACTTTGCTAACATTCAACTGTGAAACAGTGTCAATATACAACTTTGTGATGCTGTCAACAAACAACTGTGCAACTCTGTCAATATACAAGGTCCGACAACTAAGTAATGAGACTAATTTCATAAAAATTAAAATAATCAACAGATGAAGATACAACATGTATTTTATACAAATTAAGCCCCTTGTGCATTGATACAGAAAGTGGCCCGATCTGACAACAAACACTGGAACGACCTCTTTAGTTCTTCTGTTGTTATGGCCCTTAAAGTCAATTTTACAGCCCTATCAACATACACATTTGTGATGATGTCAATATACACATTTGTGATGATGTCAACATACACATTTGTGATGATGTCAACATACACATTTGTGATGATGTCAACATACACATTTGTGATGATGTCAACATACACATTTGTGATGATGTCAACATACACATTTGTGATGATGTCAATATACACATTTGTGATGATGTCAACATACACATTTGTGATGATGTCAACATACACATTTGTCATGATGTCAATATACACATTTGTGATGATGTCAACATACACATTTGTGATGATGTCACATACACATTTGTGATGATGTCAACATACACATTTGTGATGATGTCAATATACACATTTGTGATGATGTCAATATACACATTTGTGATGATGTCAACATACACATTTGTGATGATGTACACAATGATGATGTCAACATACACATTTGTGATGATGTCAACATACACATTTGTGATGATGTCAACATACACATTTGTGATGATGTCAACATACACATTTGTGATGATGTCAACATACAAATGTACTACTCTCTCAACACACAACTTTATGACACTTCTGTTAAGATACAACTGTAAAACTGTCAACATACAACTTTATGATGTTGTCAACATATAACTATGCTACTCTGTTAATATATAAAAGTACAACTCTTTCAACATACAAGTGTGTAATGCTGTCAACATTGACCTGTGTAACTCTGTCAACAAACATCTTTGCAACTCTGTCAACATACAAATGTACAACTCTGTGCTGCTGTCAACATACAAATGTACAACTCTGTGCTGCTGTCAACATACAAATGTACAACTCTGTGCTGCTGTCAACATACAAATGTACAACTCTGTGCTGCTGTCAACATACAAATGTACAACTCTGTGCTGCTGTCAACATACAAATGTACAACTCTGTGCTGTTGTCAACATACAAATGTACAACTCTGTGCTGCTGTTAACATACAAATGTACAACTCCTGCTGCTGTCAACATATAAATGTACAACTATGTGTGCTGTCAACATACAAATGTACAACTCTGTGCTGCTGTCAACATACAAATGTACAACTCTGTGCTGCTGTCAACATACAAATGTACAACTCTGTGCTGCTGTCAACATACAAATGTACAACTCTGTGCTGCTGTCAACATACAAATGTACAACTCTGTGCTGCTGTCACTGTACAAATGTACAACACTGTGCTGCTGTCACTGTACAAATGTACAACTCTGTGCTGCTGTCACTGTACAAAAGTGTAACTCTAAGCAAGCCTATGTATGGATACAAGACAAATTAGGAAAGCAGGAAGAAATCACTATACACATGTTCCTAATCTCCCGGCAGGGAGAGGTCACTATACACATGTTCTTAATCTCCTAGCAGGAAGAGGTCACTATACACATGTTCTTAATCTCCCAGCAGGGAGAGATCACTATACACATGTTCATTTATCTCCCAGAAGGAAGAGATCACTATACACATGTTCCTAATCTCCCAGCAGGGAGAGGTCACTATACACTTGTTCTAAATCTCCCAGCAGGGAGAGGTCACTATACTTCTTCTTCTTTTGTCAAAATCTGCTTGTGCCGCTAGGCGTCGCAGTCTATTAGATGATCGGCAACCGAGCCAGGGCGCGCTCAGTCGCTTCATATGCCGTGATGTTATGAAGTCTCAAGTTGTCCGTGACTCCTTCAATCCATCTTCTTCTTGGTCTTCCCCTGCCTCTTGGTGTTTCGATTTTCATCAAGAGATCACTATACACATGTTCTAAATCTCCTAATCTCACCACCTGATACTGGTGATACAAGTAACCCTAAGACTGACCTGTGCTGCATAAATACAACGTTTTAGCTTGACTATGTCATCCTGTGTCAAAATGTCATCTCCACTGGGTAAGTGACCTCTGTGGACAACAGAAACAGTCCATGTCAGTATAACATGTACACAAGAAACAGACATGTCAATGGAATGTGTCATCAAGGATACAACTACCATCACTAATACAACAAACAGCCACATACCATCACTAATACAACAAACAGCCACGTACCATCACTAATACAAAAAACAGCCATGTAAAAGTGATGTATACAATAAACTGTAAAACAAACAGAAGAAATATATGTGGTAACCATTTTCTGATAGTTCTATAGAGCTTTCAGTTGTCAGGAGTTTCTCTATAGTTCTACACAGCCTTCAGTTCTCAGGAGTTCCCCTTTGGTTCTAAAGAGCTTTCAATTTTCTGTAGTTTCTCTATAGTTCTATAGAGCTTTCAGCTGTCACAAGATACTCTACAGTTCTACAGAGTTTTCAGTTTTCAGGAGTTTTTCTATTGTTTTATAGAGCTTTCAGCTGTCAGAAAATTCTCTTTAGTTTTATAGAGCTGTCAGCTGTCACAAGATTCTCTACAGTTCTACAGAGCTTTCAGATTTCAGGAGTTTCTCTATAGTTCTATAGAACTTTCAGTTGTCACAAGATTCTCTACAGTTCTACAGAGCTTTCAGTTTTCAGGAGTTTCTCTATAGTTTTATAGAACTTTCAGTTGTCACAAGATTCTCTACAGTTCTACAGAGTTTTCATTTGTAAGTTCTTTCTATAGTTCTACAGAGCTTTCAGTCTCGAAACAATCTGACTGTGCAGATCGGCCAGGCCACATAAACACATACCGTAAACAGATATCAAAGAGTCGTCTGCCGATCTGGCCACATAAACACATACCGTAAACAGATATCAAAGAGTCGTCTGCCGATCTGGCCACATAAACACATACCGTAAACAGATATCAAACAGTCGTCTGCCGATCTGGCCACATAAACACATACCGTAAACAGATATCAAAGAGCCGTCTGCTGATCTGGCCACATAAACGCATACCGTAAACAGATATAAAAGAGTCGTCTGCCGATCTGGCCACATAAACACATACCGTAAACAGATATCAAAGAGTCGTCTGCCGATCTGGCCACATAAACACATACCGTAAACAGATATCAAAGAGTCGTCTGCCGATCTGGCCACATAAACACATACCGTAAACAGATATCAAAGAGTCGTCTGCCGATCTGGCCACATAAACACATACCGTAAACAGATATCAAAGAGTCGTCTGCCGATCTGACCCTGCACGGTGCTGACAGTGTCTCTGAGCTGTTTAGCAATGGCCTGACCTCGAAGTGATTCCACATTAAAGTTGTTGGTCCTCGCAGGGAAGATGAGAAATGCCACAATGGTCATGTCACTATTACACGACTGTAGAACACAACATTCCAGACAAGTTAATGAATGCTTACTTTTGATATTGTCACTTCAACATGAGACTGCTGGCCTTGACAAGAGCACAACCTGGTTGTAACAATGATGTGTGTGTGTGTGTGTGCTCATGTGTGCGTTCATGTGTGTGTGTGTGTGTGTGTGTGTCTTTTTCACCAGGTTTTAACAATAGTACTTTTTGGGGGAAAGGAGGGCGGGAGGGGGTCTCTGTAGTAAAGTGGTCAAGTCATTTGACTCTCTGACTGAAGGCTATCGGTTGTGTGTGTTTGTGTGTGTGTGTGTGTGTGTGGGTGTGGGTGTGTGTGTGTGTGTTTCTCCTGCCTTATCTTATTGTGTGTTCCATGTTTCTAGAGTCCTGATGCTCCCCTATGTGAATAACCTGGTAAATGTATGAAAATGTTTTTTTTGGGGGTAAGGGGGCAGACCCAGAGTCTGTGCTTTGTGGGATGTCTCCCCAGGCATTCTGCGGAGAAAGACTAAGTCATATGGGATAATGTGGGACAAGGAAGTCAGTCCTTGTGATTTTAACCCAGAGCTCAGTGTGTCACTTTAGCATGTTTCTGTCGACTTTAACCCAGAGCTCAGTGTCTAACTCTAGCATGTATCTGTCGACTTTAAACCAGAGCTCAGTGTCTAACTCTAGCATGTATCTGTCGACTTTAACCCAGAGCTCAGTGTCTTACTCTAGCATGTATCTGTCGACTTTAACCCAGAGCTCAGTGTCTTACTCTAGCATGTATCTGTCAACTTTAACCCAGAGCTCAATGTCTAACTCTAGCATGTATCTGTCAACTTTAACCCAGAGCTCAATGTCTAACTCTAGCATGTATCTGTCGACTTTAACCCAGTGCTCAATGTCTGACTCTAGCATTCATCTGTCGACTTTAACCCAGTGCTCAATGTCTGACTCTAGCATTCATCTGTCAACTTTAACCCAGAGCTCAGTGTCTAACTCTAGCATGTATCTATCGACTTTAACCCAGAGCTCAGTGTCTTACTCTAGCATGTATCTGTCGACTTTAACCCAGAGCTCAGTGTCTTACTCTAGCATGTATCTGTCGACTTTAACCCAGAGCTTAGTGTCTAACTCTAGCATGTATCTGTCGACTTTAACCCAGAGCTCAATGTCTAACTCTAGCATGCATCTGTCGACTTTAACCCAGTGCTCAATGTCTGACTCTAGCATTCATCTGTCGACTTTAACCCAGAGCTCAGTGTCTAACTCTAGCATGTATCTGTCGACTTTAACCCAGAGCTCAGTGTCTAACTCTAGCATGTATCTATCGACTTTAACCCAGAGCTTAGTGTCTTACTTTAGCATGTTTCTATCGACTTTAACCCAGAACTCAGTGTCTAACTCTAGCATGCATCTGTTGACTTTAACCCAGAGCTCAGTGTCTTACTTTAGTATGTATCTATCGACTTTAACCCAGAGCTTAGTGTCTAACTCTAGCATGTTTCTGTCGACTTAAACCCAGAGCTCAATGTCTAACTCTAGCATGCATCTGTCGACTTTAACCCAGAGCTCAGTGTCTTACTTTAGTATGTATCTATCGACTTTAACCCAGAGCTCAATGTCTAACTCCAGCATGTTTCTGTCGACTTTAACCCAGAGCTCAATGTCTAACTCTAGCATGCATCTGTCGACTTTAACCCAGAGCTCAATGTCTAACTCTAGCATGCATCTATCGACTTTAACCCAGAGCTCAGTGTCTTACTTTAGTATGCATCTGTCGACTTTAACCCAGAGCTCAATGTCTAACTCTAGCATGCATCTGTCGACTTTAACCCAGAGCTCAGTGTCTTACTTTAGTATGTATCTATCGACTTTAACCCAGAGCTCAGTGTCTAACTCTAGCATGTTTCTGTCGACTTTAACCCAGAGCTTAGTGTCTAACTCTAGCATGTTTCTGTCGACTTTAACCCAGAGCTCAGTGTCTAACTCTAGCATGCATCTGTCGACTTTAACCCAGAGCTCAGTGTCTGACTCTAGCATGTATCTGTCGACTTTAACCCAGAGCTCAGTGTCTAACTCTAGCATGTTTCTGTCGACTTTAACCCAGAGCTTAGTGTCTAACTCTAGCATGTTTCTGTCGACTTTAACCCAGAGCTCAGTGTCTAACTCTAGCATGCATCTGTCGACTTTAACCCAGAGCTCAGTGTCTTACTTTAGTATGTATCTATCGACTTTAACCCAGAGCTTAGTGTCTCACTTTAGTATGTATCTATCGACTTTAACCCAGAGCTCAGTGTCTAACTCTAGCATGTTTCTGTCGACTTTAACCCAGAGCTCAGTGTCTCACTTTAGTATGTATCTATCGACTTTAACCCAGAGCTCAGTGTCTAACTCTAGCATGCATCTGTCGACTTTAACCCAGAGCTCAATGTCTAACTCTAGCATGTACCTGTCGACTTTAACCCAGAGCTCAATGTCTAACTCTAGCATGTATCTGTCGACTTTAACCCAGAGCTCAATGTCTAACTCTACAACTCTAACTCTACTCTAACGTGCTACAAGACACAACTGTGTGTCTTCAGCTGTATCCCTGGACCACAGGCTACAACACACAACTGTGTGTCTTCAGCTGTATCCCTGGACCACATGCTACAACACACAACTGTGTATCTTCAGCTGTATCCCTGGACCACATGCTACAACACACAACTGTGTATCTTCAGCTGTATCCCCGGACCACATGCTACAACACACAACTGTGTATCTTCAGCTGTATCCCCAGACCACATGCTACAACACACAACTATGTATCTTCAGCTGTATCCCTGGACCACATGCTACAACACACAACTGTGTATCTTCAGCTGTATCCCCGGACCACATGCTACAACACACAACTGTGTATCTTCAGCTGTATCCCCGGACCACATGCTACAACACACAACTGTGTATCTTCAGCTGTATCCCTGGACCACATGCTACAACACACAACTGTGTATCTTCAGCTGTATCCCCGGACCACATGCTACAACACACAACTGTGTATCTTCAGCTGTATCCCTCGACCACAGGCTACAACACACAACTGTGTCTTCAGCTGTATCCCTGGACCACATGCTACAACACACAACTGTGTATCTTCAGCTGTATCCCCGGACCACAGGCTACAACACACAACTGTGTATCTTCAGCTGTATCCCTGGACCACATGCTACAAGACACAACTGTGTGTCTTCAGCTGTATCCCTGGACCACATGCTACAACACACAACTGTATATCTTCAGCTGTATCCCTCGACCACAGGCTACAACACACAACTGTGTCTTCAGCTGTATCCCTGGACCACATGCTACAACACACAACTGTGTATCTTCAGCTGTATCCCTGGACCACATGCTACAACACACAACTGTATATCTTCAGCTGTATCCCAAGACCACATGCTACAACACACAACTGTGAGTCTTCAGCTGTATCCCCGGACCACATGCTACAACACACAACTGTGTGTCTTCAGCTGTATCCTGTCTTGTCCTGGCATGTGTTCTTCCACTGTTGCTACACCCTTCACTACCATCTGTCACTGCTCAGTGTACCTGGTACAACATGAGTGATCTCACTCAGGTGAGAACAAACAGATCACAGTGTACATGGTACAACATGAGTGATCTCACTCAGGTGAGAACAAACAGATCACAGTGTACCTGGTACAACATGAGTGATCTCACTCAGGTGAGAACAAACAGATCACAGTGTACATGGTACAACACGAGTGATCTCACTTAGGTGAGAACAAACAGACCACAGGTGTCACTGACCTTGAGGTAATAGTTGAGCCTTGCTAAAGATTCTATAAACATATCTGCCCCTTTGTTAGAAAACTCGTAACGACCGGCTGTAAAGTAGTACAGGGTTTTATCCAAATCAAAGTCATAATGTCTGAAACAGAACAGTCACAACCGTGTCAATATGGTGTGTGAGACAATCAGTGTCAGGTAATGTCTGAAACAGAGCAGTCACAACATGGGTGTGTGAGACAATCAGTGTCAGGTAATGTCTGAAACAGAGCAGTCACAACATGGGTGTGTGAGACAATCAGTGTCAGGTAATGTCTGAAACAGAACAGTCACAACATAGGTGTGTGAGACAATCAGTGTCAGGTAATGTCTGAAACAGAGCAGTCACAACATAGGTGTGTGAGACAATCAGTGTCAGGTAATGTCTGAAACAGAGCAGTCACAACATGGGTGTGTGAGACAATCAGTGTCAGGTAATGTCTGAAACAGAGCAGTCACAACATAGGTGTGTGAGACAATCAGTGTCAGGTAATGTCTGAAACAGAGCAGTCACAACATGGGTGTGTGAGACAATCAGTGTCAGGTAATGTCTGAAACAGAGCAGTCACAACATGGGTGTGTGAGACAATCAGTGTCAGGTAATGTCTGAAACAGAACAGTCACAACATGGGTGTGTGAGACAATCAGTGTCAGGTAATGTCTGAAACAGAACAGTCACAACATAGGTGTGTGAGGCAATCAGTGTCAGGTAATGTCTGAAACAGAGCAGTCACAACATAGGTGTGTGAGACAATCAGTGTCAGGTAATGTCTGAAACAGAGCAGTCACAACATAGGTGTGTGAGACAATCAGTGTCAGGTAATGTCTGAAACAGAACAGTCACAACATAGGTGTGTGAGGCAATCAGTGTCAGGTAATGTCTGAAACAGAACAGTCACAACATAGGTGTGTGAGGCAATCAGTGTCAGGTAATGTCTGAAACAGAGCAGTCACAACATAGGTGTGTGAGGCAATCAGTGTCAGGTAACAACACAAGTGGATAATCTGCTCACACATTTATGCTGTACAGGTAGGAGGATAGCAAGAGCAACAGATACTGCATATATCTGTAATGTAACAGAATAATATAAACAGAATTATGATTTATTCTGTTTTCCAAACACATGGTAACAAATATTGTCACAGAACATATATAAAATATGATTTTAAATATCATACATTAATCAGAGCTGTCATAACCAACGCCAAATCGTCACATCACCAGAACAATGCTCCTGATCAGAAACACACTTGCCAGTTCTCCTGCTTCCTGTTCTTTGAAGCCATCGCTGTCTCTCATGGCCTGTTTGCAGCTTTGTGAATCTTTGTAGCATTTATTATGGCACAACTAGTTTAGTCTCCAAAATATGCCGCTATTAACAAACATCTTCAGATTCAAATTTTATCAGTCCATCAACATGTAACAAACATCTTCAGATCCAGATGTATAGCCCTCCAACATTTAGCAAACATCTTCAGATCCAGATGTATAGTCCCCCAACATTTAGCAAACATCTTCAGATCCAGATGTATAGTCCTCGAACATTTAGCAAACATCTTCAGATCCAGATGTATAGTCCTTGAACATTTAGCAAACATCTTCAGATCCAGATGTATAGTCCTTGAACATTTAGCAAACATCTTCAGATCCAGATGTATAGTCCTCCAACATTGAGCAAACATCTTCAGATCCAGATGTATAGTCCTTGAACATTTAGCAAACATCTTCAGATCCAGATGTATAGTCCTCCAACATTTAGCACACATCTTCAGATCCAGATGTATAGTACCCCAACATTTAGCAAACATCTTCAGGTCCAGATGTATAGTCCTCCAACATTTAGCAAACATCTTCAGATCCAGATGTATAGTACCCCAATATTTAGCAAACATCTTCAGATCCAGATGTATAGTCCCCCAACATTTAGCACACATCTTCAGATCCAGATGTATAGTCTCCCAACATTTAACAAACATCTTCAGATCCAGATGTTTAGTCCTCCAACATTTAGCAAACATCTTCAGATCCAGATGTATAGTACCCCAACATTTAGCAAACATCTTCAGATCCAGATGTTTAGTCCTCCAACATTTAGCAAACATCTTCAGATCCAGATGTACAGTCCTCGAACATTTAGCAAACATCTTCAGATCCAGATGTATAGTCCTTGAACATTTAGCAAACATCTTCAGATCCAGATGTATAGTCCTCGAACATTTAGCAAACATCTTCAGATCCAGATGTTTAGTCCTCCAACATTTAGCAAACATCTTCAGATCCAGATGTATAGTACCCCAACATTGAGCAAACATCTTCAGATCCAGATGTATAGTCCCCCAACATTTAGCAAACATCTTCAGGTCCAGATGTATAGTCCTCCAACATTTAGCAAACATCTTCAGATCCAGATGTATAGTCATCCAACATTTAGCAAACATCTTCAGATCCAGATGTACAGTCCTCCAACATTTAGCAAACATCTTCAGATCCAGATGTACAGTCCTCCAACATTTAGCAAACATCTTCAGATCCAGATGTATAGTCCTCGAACATTTAGCAAACATCTTCAGATCCAGATGTATAGTCCCCCAACATTTAGCACACATCTTCAGATCCAGATGTATAGTCCTCGAACATTTAGCAAACATCTTCAGATCCAGATGTATAGTACCCCAACATTTAGCAAACATCTTCAGATCCAGATGTATAGTCCCCCAACATTTAGCACACATCTTCAGATCCAGATGTATAGTCCTCGAACATTTAGCAAACATCTTCAGATCCAGATGTATAGTCCCCCAACATTGAGCAAACATCTTCAGCCTCAAATTATATCAGTCCATCAACATGTAAGAAACATCTGCAGATTCAAACTGTAAGTCACATCACAAAGACAAGACGCTGAAAAGATCTGCTGGGATTTGATACTGAAGGACAACAGACAGATGAGGTTACAGGATGTGTCTCTCACAATAAAGGTAGAGAAAGAAAACACAGTACATTCTGTCTTGTAAGTTTCTAAACAACATGCTTGTGTCAATCTTTCACAGGACAAACCCATTTCTAGACAACATGAATCTATTAAGCTTTCACAGGACATACCCGTAAAAGTGTCCACGGACAAAGTCATTGATCTTCTCCTTGTTGATAGCATGCAGGTTTTGGAACTCATGAAGCGCACTAAATCTCACCACATTCAAGCCGTTAGGTGTTATCACATCTGAAATTTAGAACTTAAATATCAACTTTTGGGTGTTATCACATCTGAAATACAGAACATAAACACACACAACTGGGTGTTCTCACATCTAAAAAATAAAACGTTCGCACAAGCTATTGTGTGTTATCACTTCTAAAATGTAGAACATATGCACAAGTTATTGGTTGTTATCACTTCTAAAATTAAAAACAAATGCACAAGTTATTGGGTGTTATCACTTCTGAAATATAGAACATTTGCACAAGTTATTGGGTGTTATCACTTCTGAAACATAGAACATTTGCACAAGTTATTGGGTGTTATCACTTCTGAAATATAGAACATTTGCACAAGTTATTGGGTGTTATCACTTCTGAAATAAAGAACATTCACACAAGTTATTGGGTGTTATCACTTCTGAAATATAGAACATTTGCACAAGTTATTGGGTGTTATCACTTCTGAAATAAAGAACATTCACACAAGTTATTGGGTGTTATCACTTCTGAAATAAAGAACATTCACACAAGTTATTGGGTGTTATCACTTCTGAAATATAGAACATTTGCACAAGTTATTGGGTGTTATCACTTCTGAAATATAGAACATTTGCACAAGTTATTGGGTGTTATCACATCTGAAATAAAGAACATATGCATGTTACTGGATGTTGTCATATCTAAAATACATAACATAAATACAAGCTATTGTGTGTTATCATTTCTGAAATATAGATCTTCCACAGATGAATTATCACATCTGAAATAAAGATCTTTCATAGATATACTATCACATCTGAAATATAGATCTTTCATAGATATACTATCACATCTGAAATATAGATCTTTCATAGATACACTATCACATCTGAAATATAGATCTTTTATAGATGAACTATCATATCTGAGACATAGATCTTTCACAGACAAATAATCACATCTGAAATATTGATCTTTACTAGATAATTATCATATCTGAAATATACATTTTTCACAGATAAATAATCACATCTGAAATATAGATCTTTCAGAGATAATAATCACAAGTGAAATATAGATCTTTCACAGACAAATTATCACACCTGAAATAAAAATCTTTCATAGATAAACTTGTAATAGCCACCTGAAACATTAACAAATATAAAGCATAAACTCTGATAGGTACAATCACTTTGGTGGTGTAATATCTGAACCACAGATCTGTCAGCAATGATATCCTATTTGAAACATACACAGTTAATAGAGATACACACAAATTAAAACATGAATAAATTATGGAGACATTAAAATGGGCAATTGTGAAAAGATAAAGCAAGAAGCAAGACAGGGATGTGATCTATCACAGGATCTCTAAAAAAAATAGTTATCACAGATGGACTTCTCTGGACACCTGAAGCTGTTATAGAGGAAGTTAAAGAAGAAGAAAGATGGACAAGAAATACGAGTCAGAAACCAACAAACAAATCTATCTGATACAGGGGACACTATACTGTGACAGCTAGATATGTACAACATTTTATTTTGTGTGTTTATAAATGTGTTAGCTACAAAAATTTAGCAGTCAGATCTCAATACAACAACAACAGTATATGATGAAAGATCTTGGGTTCACTGTATACTTGTGTGTCTAGACTTGCATATCCTACTGTCAAGTGTGTATAATTCAAAACAAATCAGACAAGGTAAGGTAAGGTAAGGCAAGGCAAGGTAAGGTAAGGCAAGGTAAGGTAAGGTAAGGCAAGGTAATTGCAGTTTCAACTTCACAGCAAACAGGTCACCCCCCACCCCCCCCCCCCCCCCCCCCCCTAGCAGCTCTGTTTCTGTGCCAATGAAAGCCACACAGAAGGTCCGCCTGCCCTCATAAAAAAAAAATGGACATACTGTAATCTGAGTTGAGTCAAGAACTGATGTCACAGCACTCGGGGAATTCCCATGCACACTCAGTCCCCATCTTCAGCAGCCAGCGCAGAGTTTCAATACTGATGGTACCGGTCACAATCTGGTTAAATGTCCCTCTTGCCTTTCATCTGAGTGTAGTGAGCCGACCAGACCCTCTGGTTACACACAGGTGTCTCATTCTCTCCAGGCCATAATAATCTTCTTTCTCTACTGATTCCATTGCTCGTTTCCAAAGGGCCTTGACCACATCTGCCTTGTCATGTATCAATTCACCACCCAGTGGTGCGGATCCAGCCAATCTGTCTGCCTGTTCATTACCCACCATGCTGGCATAGCCTGGAGAAGATTTTCCATTGGCTTTAGCTACAAACCCCCAGGCACTTCTCTTTCCTCTCAACACTGAACCATCTGATGAGATAACCAGATCACCTGGGCGTGAATTGTCGTGAATCAACTGTTGGACTTCAACCTACATAGCACCCGCTGGCCACTATCTGCAAACCCGGCCCAATGTTATCATAACCCTACACAGGTCAGACTTTTCCGCTGGTACTCTGACCCACTACTCTCCTTGTCCAATGTTCTCCAGTATGCATATTTGTCGTACTGTCTTCTGCTTGAGCCATCCACAATTTTCCCCTTTTTAGCCTCTGACCCTTGCCTGCAGCCAAAGCTTCATACAGGGGGTGTTCCGTATCTGCAGCATCTTTAGCCTATCTGCAATGCAAGGATGTATCGCATGCACACAATTGGGGTGTCTCTTGTACAACCCAGGACCAACCTCATAGCTTCATTCTGTATTCTGTATGCGCTCCAGGTCTGACTCTTCAGGACAGTGAGTAACCCCGATCCGTAATCAATCCCTGAGATGCTTAAGTGCTGGTAAAGTGTGAACAGCATTCTCTGCTCTATGTCCATTGCTGCCATAATCTTTAGTGTGTTTAGACAGACCTTTTGGAGCCCTTGTCACAACCCCATCTATGTTATCCCTGAAAGACAAACTTTTGTCAAAGGTGATTCCCAGGTGCTGCAGTCTGCTGTCCCTTTTGATGTCCCTGCCATTTATTTTGAGTCTAAGAACATCAGCTCAAACAATCCTGTTTTCAAAAGAATACCACAGGGCGGTTGCCTTTTCTGGGTTGATTACAGCACTCATCTCTGTACACAAGTCAATCACCTTATCTACTGTTGCCTGTAACTCTTCAGCTATTTGATTCCAAGCTCTCCCCCTCCAATATACAAGAACATCATCTGCAAATATCAATATTCTGCTGACTCCGGGTGTTTCCAGGCAGGCAATTTTGCTCGTAAAAACATTAGAACAGTACAGGTGAAACTGCAGATCCCTGTGGTAGTCTTGGAGCTATAATACATGGTTCAGAGGTCCATGAACCCAGGCTGAGAGCTACCCGGCGAGTATCAAATTCACCAACCAAGGACAGACTCTCTTCTCCATAAGAGCTTTCATCAAGAAACTGTATCTGACTCTGTTGTAAGAGTCTTCTAAATCGAGTGCAGCTGTCACTGTTTCCTGTCTGTTCTGGAAACCTTTGAAAGTATCAAGAGCAAAAGTGGCTGCATTTGACCATGTGTCCTTCCCCGACTAGTAACTTTCCAATCCTCGTGTAAGGAGATTTCTCTGTTCCAAAAATTCTTGTAGCTTACCCGCCACTATCTTCTCCGGCACTTGACCACAATCTAGTTAAATGTTGGTCTTGCCTTACCTCTGAGTGTTGCAGAACCAACCCCAGCACTTTCTGGCTGTTGGGGTTTTTCTAGGCACATTTACATCCAGTAGTTTGCAATTGCTTTTTGGGCGGTCAGCTCTCAGTACCACGGTCAAAACCATTGCAAAACAAACCGTCCAATGCAAGGATCGAACCCAGCACCCCGACATTACGAAGCGCGTTCGCAATGCCTGAGCCACAGACACGGACTCCTCTGAGTGTAGTGAGCTGTAATCTTAGCAAATCCAACAGACCATCTTGCGATTTTTTTTTTTATTTGCAGTTCACAATACAAACCACACTGGGCACAGCTGAAAAGGTTTTAAAATGAGATCTGCAGTTCAGTTGGCCATGCACTCAGTAGCTGGGTGACAGAACTATATCCTTTCAGTCTTCATATGGAGACAAATGTGACAGCTAACTATTGTCAGAAGCAAAAACTTGTCAAGTTATAAAAAACAGTAAACATGTCTATCCGCCATACTGACCAGTATGTGACCGATTCTGCAATGGCCACCCACCTCCTTTTAATCTGCTATATAATACGATCAGCTCCACTGATGATCAGATGTAATATTACAAAAAGACCCTTTTCTCCGCTGTCAGAGATGTACAGGGCATATTGACCTATATTTTATAGACCAATCTGCACTGGGTGGGTGATGTGGTCAGCATCACACCGGCCGCCTTGAACTCCCAGGACTTGACCTGATGCCCATTTAAGGCTGGTTCAACATGGCAGCAATTGCTAATTTTGTGTGTGTCAAGTTCGTTCTCTCCAGAACCTGAACCAGGGACCAATGTTTTATCATATGTAAATGTTGTTTGTGTGTGTCAAGTTTGTTTCCATCAGGACTTGAACCCACGACCAATGTTATATCATATGTAAATGTTGTTTGTAGCAGTTTGCTTCAATTGTGATGAATAATTTCAGCCACAGGAACATTACTGCATGGTCAATGGTGGCTGGGATAAAGCAGCAGATAATAAATAAGAGAACAACTGTCTGACGGAGCGTCAGACTGTTGTTCTCTAATTTATTATCTGCTGCTTGAGCATTGGCCCACATGCTCTACACGATCAGTCTTGTGCTGCTCAGACTTCTGGAAAACAGCTACATAAGAATGTATAGTATGACTTTTGTTGTGTCAAAACTGAGCTCAGATGGAATATTCTGCAGTTTAAAAAAACAAAAACCAAAAAAAAAACATCATTCCTTGTTGGAGTGTCAGAGGCAGTGTTTTCCCAGCCACATGTAGATATGGTGTAACATTGATCTGAACATGTATTTTAGTCAGATTCCTTTCTTGACTTTGTTGAATTATATCAACACAATTTATCAGTTCTCTGCATTAACATTTTAAATTCATTTTGTCATTCTTTAACAGTGTTATCCTTTTCAGCAACAAAACGTTAAAGGTTTTGTCTGAAACGTGAAATGTGAAAACAATGCAAACGCAGTGGAACAGAACATTTCACTTTTAAAATCAAATGTGAACCAACATTCAAAGACAGAACATTTCACTTTTAAAATCAAATGTGAACCAACATTCAAAGACAGAACATTCAGCAGTCCTGCATGGAAAACAACTGAGTTGAGGTGAGTCAACAACTGACATCAAAGAACTCGGGGCACTCCAATATGCGCTCTGTCCACATTTTCAGTAGCCAGAGCAGAGTTTCAATACTAATGGCACCGGCAGTAATCTTGCTATATATCCTTCTTGCCTTTTCTCTGATTGCAGTGACCCAACCAGACCCTCTGGTTACACATACCTGCATTATTGTCTGTAGGCCATAACAGCCTTGTTTTTCTTCTGACTTCGTTGTTACTTGTTCCCAAAGTGGCCTGACCACATCTGTCTTGTCATGTATCAATTCCCCATCCAGTGGTGCAGATCCAGCCAATCTGTCTGCCTGTTCATTATCAACCCTGCCAGCATGGCCTGGAAAAAAATCAAAAGTATGCTCTCTACTTGTAAACTTCCCAGTGAAGCTTGCCACTCTGCTCGAAGCATCCCTGTCTCCAGCTTTCTAAGCATACCTTCAGAGTCGGTTATAATTATGACATGTGTATGCATCTTTTTTTCTAGCCACCGGAGAGCTGCAGTGACTACCTCCACCTTCATGCTCATGCTAGATGTGGTGTCATATGCTAGGCTGTCTTGCACTGAAGATTTTCCATTGGCTTTCTTTACCAAACCCCAGGATTTTCTCTTCTCTCTCAGTACCAAACCATCTGTGTAGATAATCAGATCACCTGGGTGAGAACTCGTGAATCAACTGTTTCAATTCCACCTCTGTAGCACCCGCTGGCCACTCTATGCACTCCAGTCCTAATGTGATCATAACCCTACACAGGTCAGACTTTTCCTCAGGTACTCTAACCCACACCTCTCCTTGTGCAATGTTCTCCAGCATGCATACTTGTCTTATTGTGTCTCCTGCTTGAGCCATCCATGATTTTCTCTTTTTCTGCCTCTGACCCTTGCCTGCAGCCAAAGCTTCATATAGAGGGTGCTCTTTAACTGCAGCTACTCTAAGGTTTGACTTAGCCTGCAGCACCTTTAGCCTATCTGCAATAGTCGGCAGTTCAAGGATGTGTCGCATACACACAAGTGGGATGTTTCTTCTACAACCCAGGATCAGCGGCAAAGCTTCATTCTGTATGCATTCCACGTTTCTCTAGCTGACTCTTCGAGACAGTGAGTAACCCCAATCCATAATCAAACACTGAGATGAAAAGGTGCTGGTAAAGTGTGAACAGCATTCTTTGCTCTATGTCCATTGCTGCCATAATCTTTAGTGCATTAATACCTTTTTGAGCCTTTGCCACCATCCTCTATGTGATACTTGAAAGACAAACTTCTGTCAAAGGTGATTCCCAGCTACCGCAGTCTGCTGTCCCTTTTGATGTCCCTGCCATTTATTTTGAGGCTTGGAACATCAGCTCTAACAATTCTGTTGTCCACAGAACACAATAGGGTGGTTGCCTTTTCTGGGTTGATTACAGCACTCATCTATGTACACCAGTCAGTCACCTTATCTGTGTTGTCTCTATCACTGTGATCTGACTGTGAAATGAACCTCTTTAGGAAAGCCTCCCCCTTCTCTTTATGGAAATCAAAGTGCAGGAACCCACAAAAGTGGATGAGAGTGGAGATAAACCAACCAGCAAGAAGAAAATCTCAACAGCACAAAGCTGAAAAAGCAGCAACTGGAAGCAGAATCAATCTCTTCAACCAAACCATGTGCATCCAAGTGGGGATGCACGCAACACAGAACTGTTTGTACCAGGCTTTCTTTTGAGCAGATGTTCTGCCTCGACTCCCGTAATCTCTGAGACTGTGGTAAAGATATGGGAGCAGTGAACTGCCGCCCTCTCCATGCAGTAGCGATGGTAGATCTGCCGGTCTCCTGCCTCCTTGTCCAAGTTAAACTTGAGAAGACATTTTTAAACACTCTGTTTAACAAATTCCCGACACACATACAACAAATTTTTCAAACTTTCTGCTGAACATACGTCTTACAAACATATTACACACTGACCGCCTTCCTCTCCTGCATCAAACCTTATCAAGTTCATGATTGAAGACATTATGGTTGCAGAATGTGAGACCTATATTTAAAAACATCAAATGTGAAACCTATGTTTGAACACACCAGTCAGTGTAACAAGGGAGATGCTGTGGTGTAGCAGCTAGATGCCTGCTGACTGGCCCAAACGTCACTGGTTCAAATCTGCATCGAGACAGATTTTTCCCACAAACGATCTTACCTCACGGGTTGACCCAGCCTAAAATGGGTACGAGGTAAAGTCCTGGGAAGTAAAGGTGGGCAGCATGATGGTGACTACATCTCCCCCTGAGTGACCTAAAGTGATAGATCTAGCATTCAAGGGCCTTTTTAAATCAGTGAAACAAACCAGGAAGGCCAAGCAGTCAACAAATGCCTGCAGAAGCTGGATGTGTTGGCTGAAAGGCACAAATATCGAGCCATGCTGTAAACGGGCATCATGCATTTACATCTTCGGAATAATGCAGAAAAAGAAGAATCAGTATAACATGCTTCGTTTTCAAGTTGCGGTTGCCAGCTGATCATGTGATCACTGTCATCTCTACTGATACATATCTGTAAAACTGATCTGGGTTCCCGGATCAATCCAGCAATAAGTGGCTACCAGGAAATACAGCCAGAAGTAAAGGCCACCAGTGTGGGTTCCCATTTCTGCCTTATGTGGCTCAGAGAGCGATGAGGATTGATTGTGAGTTCCAATTTCTGCCTCATATGGCTCAGAGAGCGATGAGGATTGATTGTGAGTTCCCATTTCTGCCTTATATGGCTCAGAGAGCGATGAGGATTGATTGTGAGTTCCCATTTCTGCCTTATATGGCTCTGAGAGCGATGAGGATTGATTGTGAGTTCCCATTTCTGCCTTATGTGGCTCAGAGAGCGATGAGGATTGATTGTGAGTTCCAATTTCTGCCTCATATGGCTCAGAGAGCGATGAGGATTGATTGTGAGTTCCCATTTCTGCCTTATGTGGCTCAGAGAGCGATGAGGATTGATTGTGAGTTCCCATTTCTGCCTTATATGGCTCTGAGAGCGATGAGGATTGATTGTGAGTTCCCATTTCTGCCTTATGTGGCTCTGAGAGCGATGAGGATTGATTGTGAGTTCCCATTTCTGCCTTATGTGGCTCTGAGAGCGATGAGGATTGATTGTGAGTTCCCATTAATGGCATCCGTCCTGGTCAGAATAGTGGGTCAATAATTACATGGGATTGAAAAATAACAACAATACTAACAACAATCTAACATTAGACATTATGAGAGAATTAAACAGTCAAGGAATCCAATGTTGGCTAGTGAATCAATGCATTCTTATGACGAAAGGAAACTATACAAAAACTTCAAGACATGAAATATAATTCTTCAATGTATATATGTATTTAAATAAACATGAAACTTATAGCCATGTTATATGATCACAGAAATTGTAGGCATAAACAAATGTATGAACAGAGACTGCTGACCTTGTCCAGATTGTTATAGAAGTCAGCACAGCCAGCACACAGGTACCGGCCCAGCAGAGTGGCGTGTGTGGTGAAAATCAGAGCAGCATTGACCTTTCTCGTCCGTGTGTAGATCAGTCCCGCCCCTGCCAACCACTCGTGGAAATGGGCTGTCACCATAGGGTCACCAGTCATGTTTTTAATGAACTGAAATGTTTACATGTCAGGATGTCAGAAATATCTACACATTATGATGTCTTTAATTTTTACATACAAAGATGTCAGAAATGTCTACATATGATAATGCCAGAAATGTTTACATATGATGTCAGAAATGTTTACATATGATGATGTCAGAAATGTCTACATATGATGATGTCAGAAATATTTACATATGAAGATGTCAGAGATGTTTACATACAAAGATGTCAGAAATGTTTATATACAAAGATGTCAGAAATGTTTATATACAAAGATGTCAGAAATGTTTATATACAAAGATGTGCATTTGTGTTTTTTCATCATCAATATCATCAACTACTTCTGCAGTGAAGCGGGATGGGGATGAATAATTTGTGATCCAGTGCATCTGTGTTTTGTAATCATCATCATCATCAACTACTTCTGCCGTGAAGCGGTGTGGGAAGGAATAAATTGCGATCCAGTGCATTTGTGTTTTGTAATCATCATTATCATCAACCACTTCTGACGTGAAGCGGCTCGGGGAGGAATAATTTGCGTTCCAGTGCATTTGTGTTTTGTAATCATCATCATCATCATCAACTACTTCTGCTGTGAGTGGCGTGGGGAGGAATAATTCTCGATCCAATGCATTTGTGTTTTGTTCATCATCAATATCATCCACTACTTCTGCCGTGAAGCGGTGTGGGGAGGAATAATTTGCCATCCAGGGCATTTGTGTTTTGTAATCATCATCATCATCAACTACTTCTGCCGTGAAGCGGTGTGGGAAGGAATAATTTGCGATCCAGTGCATTTGTGTTTTGTAATCATGGCGTCCGTGGCTAAGGTATTGCGAGTCTGACTTGTAATCCAACGTACTGCGATCAAAACCCACTGCGGGCTGTGTGGATTTTTATCGTGGTATGGAACGTCGCTGGTGGACCCAGCCTCAAATTGGTACCAGGATGGGCTGTCCTGGAAAAGTAAAGACGGCAGGGGTAATGCTGACCACATTACCCACCGAGTGCCGATTGGTCTGTAAAAATATGGGTGCTCTTCCCATTTGCCTGATGCGCCTAAGGGCGTGTAAAGGGATCTTTACTTACTTTACTTTACTTACACATAGATCAATCCATCTACTTACAATTCCATTCATCTACTAAGATAGCCAACTTTTATCCCATCCATTCATCTACCCACCCATCTATCTCACCACCCACTCGCCCACTCACCTGACCATCCACCCATGCTATTTTTTCATCACTTTCTCACATTCTGGTTTTTACCAGTTCTGTGCTCGGTTCGATTGATACTTTGTATAACAATCACCCTTACTGTCTCTATTTCAGAGCTGACAGTAACAGAGAAGCATCGTGTTATGAGACCCTTGTTTTTACCTGATTTCATTTATTGGCACACTGTCTGTCTTTCTGTCTGTCTGTCTCTGTGTATCTACCTGTCTGTCTGTCTGTCTGCCTGCCTATCAATCAATCAATCAATCAATCAATCAATCAATCAATCAATCAATCTATCTATCTATCTATCTATCTATCTATCTATCTATCTATCTATCTATCTATCTATCTATCTATCTATCTATCTATCTATCTATCTATCTATCTATCTATCTATCTATCTATCTATCTATCTATCTATCTATCTATCTATCTATCTATCTATCTATCTATCTATCTATCTATCTATCTATCTATCTATCTATCTATCTATCTATCTATCTATCTATCTATCTATCTATCTATCTATCTATCTATCTATCTATCTATCTATCTATCTATCTATCTATCTATCTATCTATCTATCTATCTATCTATCTATCTATCTATCTATCTATCTATCTATCTATCTATCTATCTATCTATCTATCTATCTATCTATCTATCTATCTATCTATCTATCTATCTATCTATCTATCTATCTATCTATCTATCTATCTATCTATCTATCTATCTATCTATCTATCTATCTATCTATGTATCTATCTATCTGCCTGCCTGCCTGCCTGCCTGCCTGTCTGTCTGTCAGCATGCCGGCCTGCCTGTCCGTCTGATTGTATTTGTTCGCTAGCAAAGGCACCACTTTTACTCCATGCGGATGTACTAGTGTCATCCTCAAAACCCAACCCTGGTTACGCTATTTGCCAACCCCTCCCTCCCCCTTTAGACACTCAGTGCACGCTGTTGGCGTCTACTCCGCCCATTTCCCAGGTATACCGAACCCCTTTTTTGCTTCCCGTCCGTGCGTTGACGATAGATAGTCTAGTACCTGTCCTATTCATCCTCTTGAACAAAGTTTATCGCCAGAGACACAGATGAGTATCATTTATTGTGTACATTAGTCCCATGTAGTCACTTCGTAGTTAGAGCATATTTGTGTATGTGTACTGTGTTGTTCTTTATGTGCTGATGAAGGCTAATCGCCGCAACATCCTTTGTTTGTTTATTGTGATCGATTTTTGTAAAGCTAACATAAACTATTTGTTCTTTCTTACCCCCCTTTTCTCTTCCCTATAATTTCCTACCCCTTTGAAGACACTTTTCTTTGAAAGAAAATATTTAGAAATGGGTCAAAAATATATAGAAATATATAGATTTGCGCGGGAAAGATCTAGAACTAACGTTCAAATGGAAACAGTCACAAATTAAACAGCTATTGATATGACTGTATAGAATAAACACCTCATCTTCACTAATGTCTGTCTCACAAAATCCACAGGACAAACAGCTTGGATGATGAAGTTCAAGCTTCAGATCCAAAATGACTGGTAAGTTTCAGCTGTTTCAATTTCTTTTAACACACAAAACAACCTAGCGTGAACTGGATCGTAAATTATTTTGCCCCACGCCGCTTTTTGGCAGAAGTGGTTGATAATGATGACAAAACGCAAATGAACCGGATCGCACATTTTTCCTCCCCACGTCACTTAACGGCAGAAGTGGTTGATGATGATGATGATGATGATGATGATGATGACAAAACACAAATGAACTGAATCGCAAATTATTACACCCCATGGCGCATAACAGCATAAGTGGTTGATGATGATGATGACGATGATGATGATGACAAAGCACAAATGCAGCGGATCGCAAATTATTCCTCCCCACGCCGCTTAATGGCAGAAGTAGCTGATGATAATGATGATGATGACAAAGCACAAATGCCCTGGATCGCAAATTATTCCTCCCCACAACGCTTTTCGGTAAAAGTTGTTGATGATAATGATAATGATGGCAAAACACAAATGCAGTGGATCGCAAGTTATTCCTCCCGAAGCCGCTTAACGGCAGAAGTAGATGATGATGATCACAAAACACAAATACACTAGATCGCAATTGTATCATCCCCACGCCGCTTAACGGCAGAAGTAGTTGATGATGATGATGACAAAACACAACAAACGATGCACCCTTGCCACGTAATGTACCGGGAATTCCCTATTCCATCTTATCACTGCTTAAAATGTCTACTAATTTTGGAACATCCCTAAGATATTAGACTGTCCCGTTATCTTTGAAATGGGGGGAAATAATAGACAAGCACCCATTAATGTTTAGATACAAGGATGTCAGAAATGTCCTAATGATGTCAGAAATGTTTACATATGAGGATGTCAGAAATGTCTACATATGATGATGTCAGAAATGCCCTCATATGATGACATCATTAATGTTTACATACAAAGATGTCAGAAATGTCCTAATATGATGATGTCAGAAATATCTACACATGATGATGTTAGAAATGATGATGATATAAATGTTTTTGCATGAGGATGTCATAAATGTCAAATATTATGATATCATAAATGTCCTTACATCAGTATGTCAGAATGTCAAAATATTATGACAGCATAAATGTTTATACATATGTCATAAATGTCTACACATGATGTTATAAATGTCAGGCATTCATGCACACGCGCACGCGAGCGCGCGCTCGCGAGCGCATGCACGCGTGCACACACACATACTTCTTAAAACACAATGTGCATGTTTAGGGAACCAGTTTTTGACAGAATTAAACAAAGTAGCACCATGGGCTGGTTGGAAAAATTCAACCTAGACATTGACTAAAGCCTTCATTAGGTAGGTGGTGAATGCCATTTGGGGGGGGGGGGGGAGTATTGTGGTTGTTCAAGGAGCCAAGAATTTACTGCATTCATCACAAATACGTCTCAGCAAAACTGTTTCTCCTTGAGAACCTTTTTTTTTTTATAGAGGTGTGAACAAATAAAAGTCACAAAATTATAATTAGGACTATAGGCTGGACAATGAAGAAATTCCCACTTATTATTTTGTAATGCTTTCTGCACAATCTTTGCAACATGTGGACAAGCATTACCTATATAAATAAAAATGTAACGTGTCCGTTTGTAAATACTAGCTAATCTCCTAAAGTTCTTCACAGATTGCTTTCAAACTTTGACACAATGTTGCATTCATTCGGTTTTTTATATAAGATTTTGACATAAAGCAAGAACTACATTGCTCCAGCGATGATCACTTTGGCATATTGATTTTGTTTTTTTGTGGCCGCGTCCCTGCAGTGGGTTCTTATTTCCGCAAACTTTGACTGTTGACCTCAGATATCTGCATATAATAAATTGACGACCAGTTGTTGACAGAATATATGGAAATTTAATGACCAGTTGTAGACAGAATAAGTGGAAATTTAACAACCAGTTGTAGACAAAATGTGTGGAAATGTAACAACCAGTTGTTGACAGAATGTATGGATATTTAAAGGTGTGGGAATATAAAGAAGTTGCAATAAAAGTTACAGGAATATAAAGAAGTTGCAATAAAAGTTGCAGGAATATAAACACAGTTGTTTACAGAATGTATGCGAATGAAACGATACACCGTCATTGCGCATGAGGTTGCGATCATTTGATCACATTTTTTAACTGATGGCATGCAATCACATCAACAACAATTTCATTTCACTGTTTCTGATTACATGTTTATATTTAATTTTCATTTCATTATCATTATTTCCTGTGATACAAAGTTGGAACTGAGCTGTGTCATTTACCACAGCATTTATTTCTTGAGTAGAGTGTATTTTTATCTTTTCTCATTGCTCCTCACTTCGTGTATTTAAGTGCTTTCTTATTTTTAAGAGCAAGTAATGACGGTGGAATTCAGCCGAATATTTGATCTGCTTTTGAATTGGAAGATTTTATTATTTGTTACATTTGTTCCCAGTTGTCTCATTTTTTTCCTTTGTTTTTTTTTTAAATAAGTGCTTTGCAATGTTTGATGTTGTTCCCCAGCTTTTTTCTTCTTTCTTTATTTTGGCAGTGGTAGCTTTTTTTTTTTTATAACTATTTTCCCAGCTTTTTTTCCTTCTTTATTTTTATTGTTTTGCAATGTTACATTAAAAAAAAATATTTCCTCCTTTTTTTAATTTAAATATTTTGTTACTATTTTGTATTTTTTAAACATTATTTTTTTCTTAGTTCCTTTTTTTTCCTTTTATTTTAATGTTTTGCTGTTTACTATGTTTTGTTCTCCCTTTCTTTTTTCTCTTTTAGTGCAGTCGATCTGCTTTAGGTCATCCAAATAATGCCTCACAGAAGATCAAATTTAGGTCGCTTTACTCGCAGAACAAAAGCAGTGCAACAAGTAATTACAAATCAAACTGAGGAAGAACGGGCTGCAGGGAACGAGCAACATAGACACAATGACTCAGATATGTGCTGAGGAAACAGCAGAACGATGTGCAGCAAGACTTGAGGATGCACGGTTGCGAGCAGTGGCATGCTGCAGCTTCAGATCTGCTTCGTTCTCAACAGAATGACTCCCACGGGCTGAGAGTGGCTGACAGACTCCAAGCAGAAACAGCAGAAAAGCTTTAAACACAACTCCGTGCTCAGCAATCACACAAGTGTAATCGCCTTGCATTCCAGCACAACCTGACCGATGATTATAGTTTGCACCGACATGTTCTCATCGGCACTACGACTGAGGTATGTCCTTAGTGTAAGACAATGAAATTTCATGGAAAAACTATAGGAATGTGTTGGGCCGCAGGACCTGAAGTACTCTCTCTTTTACGGAGACACGAAAAGACGTTGAAAAACTGCAAAATAATCCATGAGCTGAGATATTCTCACATCAATTGCAGGACATTCGGAACGGTCAGGTGCCAGTTGATCTTAACTCTGGCTTCATAATTTCTGCAATTTGATGACGTCAAAAGAAGACTTTGTTGTATTTCCCAATATTCATACGAATTATAGGAAGCATGACTGGCTGAGTCAACGTGCTCTTCTTGGAGCCAAGAATAAAGATGTCTACAAACTTAACGATATTATTCAGTCTAGCATTCACAGTGAGGCGGTCACACACTGCTGCGGAAGCCGATGAAGCAGTTAATGATCAAAAAATATGTTTGAATTCACTTGATCTGCCAGGTATGCCACAGCACGTACTGCATTTGAAGATCGCTGTGTCAATTATCATTCTGCGCATATCACCCAGCCAAAGCTTTGTAACAGCACGTTCCTGGCAGTGAAAAATTTATTGAGCAATGTCGAAGAAGCAACAATCTAGGACCTTTCAAAGGTGACAATGTCATTCCTTGAATTCCTATGATTCCAACAGATATGCTACTTCATTTTCAGAGATTGCAATTCCCAATTCCATTGGTGTTTGCAATCATCATCAACAAAGTTCAGGGACAGTCTTTAGAATTGTGAGGTTTATAGACACGGATTGTGAGGTTTATAGACACGGATTGTGTGGTTTATAGACACGGATTGTGTGGTTTTTAGACATGGATTGTGTGGTTTATAGACATGGATTATGTGGTTTATAGACACGGATTGTGAGGTTTATAAACACGGATTGTGTGGTTTATAGACACGGATTGTGTGGTTTATAGACACGGATTGTGTGGTTTATAGACACGGATTGTGTGGTTTATAGACACAGATTGTGTGGTTTATAGACACGGATTGTGTGGTTTATATACACGGATTGTGTGGTTTATAGAAACGGATTGTGTATTTTATAGACACGGATTGTGTGGTTAATAGACACAGATTGTGTGGTTTATAGACACGGATTGTGTGGTTTATAGACACGGATTGTGTGGTTTATAGACACAGATTGTGTGGTTTATAGACACGGATTGTGTGGTTTATAGACACGGATTGTGTGGTTTATAGAAACGGATTGTGTGTTTTATAGACACGGATTGTGTGGTTAATAGACACAGATTGTGTGGTTTATAGACACGGATTGTGTGGTTTATAGACACGGATTGTGTGGTTTATAGACACGGATTGTGTGGTTTATAGACACGGATTGTGTGGTTTATAGACACGGATTGTGTGGTTTATAGACACGGATTGTGTGGTTTATAGACACGGATTGTGAGGTTTATAGACACGGATTGTGAGGTTTATAGATATGGATTGTGAGGTTTATAGACACAGATTTTGAGGTTTATAGACATGGATTGCTTATCACATAAACAATTATATGTTGCATGTTTGGCAAACCAAACAATCTGTACATCTGTGCACAGAACGCAAAGAAAAATATATTGTGAAATTAAACATTTTAGACGCATGCATTTTCTCTTCTTGTTTTTTCTGAGCTACAGCAACAGGCAGAGCCAGCTACACAATAAAATCACAGGATGATGATTGTACATGCAACTTGTCTAGCGTTTTCACGTAGTGGGTAGAGTTGATGCTGACACTAGGTTCTTTCAAGTCTACAAACAATAGCCCTTCATGGTCAAAACATCAGCTAAGATTGTTTAGATGATTCTGGATTAACTCAGCCATTGTCCAAATGGTCAGAAACAGAACCTATGTATCATGGGAGGATAAACATGTGCTCTTTTATTGACTGGTCAGTTCTCAGTCCATAACTATGACATGATCATGTATAATGCAAGCAATTATGCGTTGTGCCGCACCAGCAGGTTTCATAAAAATATTAATCAATGTAAACTACACATAAATGCACACACACATGTATATATGCTAGCCAGTCAAATGGGCAACAATTTCATAGTGTATCCAGAAATGCAAAACAAAACAGGATGGTCAGTAGATGTAATAAGTTACATTAATATAAATAGTAAACTTAGTGACCACAGTGTGTTAGTCTGACCGCAGTTCTGTCTGATCAAGCAAGACTTTCATAGACATGATTGACTTACTTCTCCTAAGAACCACGCTACAAGTGCCCCAAATATGACGGCATCATTGGTTTCACGGTCATGCCAGGGAACCCCAATGCTGGCTGTCTCCCAGAGCTCATGCCTGAACTCGTCCAGTTTCCAGGCTGCAGAGCCAATGTCAAACAAGACCACTTTCGGGTAGCCATCAATCAGCCAGCGACCAAAGTACACCTAGAAAGCAAACATACGGGAGGACAGCAACGTTCAATGACATGTCTGTTACCTCTACACTAGATACAATGATTCCAAAGCCACACTCAACCTGCTCTACATTTGGTAGGCAGTGCATATCAACATAAAGTAACAGGGCGATATATTTCTTAGTGACATCTGGCTGACTGATTGCTATGTAAGTTGCTTGGTTTTTGCTGACTGGTTTCTATGTAAATTGCTTGGTTCTGGCTGACTGGTTGCTATGTAAATTGCTTGGTTCTGGCTGACTGGTTGCGATGTAAGTTGCTTGGTTCTGGCTGACTGTTTGCTATGTAAGTTGCTTGGTTCTGGCTGACTGGTTGCTATGTAATTTGCTTGGTTCTGACTGACTGGTTGCGATGTAAGTTGCTTGGTTCTGGCTGACTGGTTGCTATGTAAGTTGCTTGGTTCTGGCTGACTGGTTGCTATGTAATTTGCTTGGTTCTGGCTGACTGGTTGCTATGTAAGTTGCTTGGTTCTGGCTGACTAGTTGCGATGTAAGTTGCTTGGTTCTGGCTGACTGGTTGCTATGTAAGTTGCTTGGTTCTGGCTGACTGGTTGCTATGTAAGTTGCTTGGTTCTGGCTGACTTGTTGTGATGTAAGTTGCTTGGTTCTGGCTGACTGGTTGCTATGTAAGTTGCTTGGTTCTGGCTGACTAGTTGCTATGTAAGTTGCTTGGTTCTGGCTGACTGGTTGCTATGTAAGTTGCTTGGTTCTGGCTGACTGGTTGCTATGTAAGTTGCTTGGTTCTGGCTGACTTGTTGTGATGTAAGTTGCTTGGTTCTGGCTGACTGGTTGCTATGTAAGTTGCTTGGTTCTGGCTGACTTGTTGTGATGTAAGTTGCTTGGTTCTGGCTGACTGGTTGCTATGTAAGTTGCTTGGTTCTGGCTGACTTGTTGAGATGTAAATTGCTTGGTTCTGACTGATTGGTTGCTATGTAAGTTGCTTGGTTCTGGCTGACTTGTTGTGATGTAAATTGCTTGGTTCTGACTGATTGGTTGCTATGTAAGTTGCTTGGTTCTGGCTGACTTGTTGTGATGTAAGTTGCTTGGTTCTGACTGATTGGTTGCTATGTAAGTTGCTTGGTTCTGGCTGACTGGTTGCTATGTAAGTTGCTTGGTTCTGGCTGACTTGTTGTGATGTAAGTTGCTTGGTTCTGGCTGACTGGTTGCTATGTAAGTTGCTTGGTTCTGGCTGACTTGTTGAGATGTAAATTGCTTGGTTCTGACTGATTGGTTGCTATGTAAGTTGCTTGGTTATGGCTGACTGGTTGCTATGTAAGTTACTTGGTTCCATTCAGTGGTTTTTTTTTTAAAATCAGTTTATGGTTTCTGATAGTGGTAACAATTTCCTGATATCTGTATAAACTGGACACTGAGTGACTTTATGTTGGAAAGTCTTATGGGGTGTGTGCAAGCAGACCTCCTTGACTAAGTTCTAAATGGTGTCTTGCAAAATGGATGCATGTATATGTGTATCTCTCTCTCTCTCTCTCTCTCTTTCTTTCTCTCTCTCTCTCTCTCTCTCTCTCTCTCTCTCTCTGCATGCGTCCGTGTGTGTATGTTTGTTTGTTTGTTTTAGTATCCAGAAGCCATGAGTTGTTAACCCTTAGGCTCGGTATTATGGATATCGCAACCTTTCGGCCTTGATTCCATTGTAAATACCGTCAATCTGGGAGAAAATGTGGCTTTCCTGCCTACCCCCGGGATTGAACCCAGACCACAAGGAGTACGTCACCCGGTCTCAGCGCTAGAGAGCCGTGTGTGTATTAAGTAATCTATTTTATGTCTGAAGTTGACATTTTTGTTTTGGTCAGATGTGAATGTTGGCTTTGAGGTGATGGAAATGGATGTACATTTGTATACTGACACTCTTTTCCCACCTCAATCCACCTGTCAGTATGTCTAATGATCGTCTTGTTTAATCAAGATTCTCAATTACATTTCTTACACAAACATGCAGAAATAAGGATATCAGTAAGTGACAAATACTATAGGTAAGATATAATTTAGAACATTTATAGTGATTACACTCGGGGAAGGAAGGTGGTGAGATGAGCCGCAGACAGCGATGTAAATTGCTTGGTTCTGACTGACTGGTTGCTATGTAAGTTGCTTGGTTCTGGCTGACTGGTTGCTATGTCAGTGATGCGGCAGTGACAGTCGGACGGCTGTTCCACCACAACTGATGCTGGCAGTGACAGACGGACAGCTGTTCCATCACAAGTGATGCCGGCAGTGACAGACGGACAGCTGTTCCACCACAAGTGATGCTGGCAGTGACAGACAGACAGCTGTTCCACCACAAGTGATGCTGGCAGTGACAGACGGACGGCTGTTCCACCCCAAGTGATGCTGGCAGTGACAGTCGGACGCTGTTCCACCACAAGTGATGCTGCCAGTGACAGACTGACGGCTGTTCCACCACAAGTGATGCTGGCAGTGACAGACAGACAGCTGTTCCACCACAAGTGATGCCGGCAGTGACAGTCCGACAGCTGTTCCACCACAAGTGATGCTGGCAGTGACAGTAGTTCCACCACAAGTGATGCTGGCAGTGACAGACAGACAGTTGTTCCACCACAAGTGATGCTGGCAGTGACAGACAGACAGTCTTTTCACCACAAGTGATGCTGGCAGTGACAGACAGACAGTTGTTCCACCACAAGTGATGCTGGCAGTGACAGACAGTTGTTCCACCACAAGTGATGCTGGCAGTGACAGACAGTTGTTCCACCACAAGTGATGCTGGCAGTGACAGACAGTTGTTCCACCACAAGTGATGCTGGCAGTGACAGACAGACAGTCTTTCCGCCACAAATAATGCTGGCAGTGACAGACAGTCGTTCCACCACAAGTGATGCTGGCAGTGACAGACAGACAGTTGTTCCACCACAAGTGATGCTGGCAGTGACAAACAGTCGTTCCACCACAAGTGATGCTGGCAGTGACAGACAGACAGTTGTTCCACCACAAGTGATGCTGGCAGTACAGACAGACAGTCTTTCCACCACAAATGATGCTGGCAGTGACAGACAGACAGTCGTTCCACCACAAGTGATGCTGGCAGTGACAGACAGTTGTTCCACCACAAGTGATGCTGGCAGTGACAGTACGCTGTTTCCACCACAAGTGATGCTGGCAGACAAGTGACAGACAGACAGTTGTTCCACCACAAGTGATGCTGGCAGTGACAGACAGACAGTCGTTCCACCACAAGTGATGCTGGCAGTGACAGACAGACAGTCGTTCCACCACACAAGTGGCATGACTGGCAGTGACAAGTGATGATGGCAGGGACAGACAGTGTTCCACCACAAGTGATGCCTGATGACAGGCAGTTGTTTGACAGTGACAGACAGTCGTTTTCACCACAAGTGATGCTGGCAGTGACAGACAGACAGTTGTTCCACCACAAGTGATGCTGGCAGTGACAGACAGACAGTAGTTCCACCACAAGTGATGCTGGCAGTGACAGACAGACAGTCGTTCCACCACAAGTGATGCTGGCAGTGACAGACAGACAGTTGTTCCACCACAAGTGATGCTGGCAGTGACAGACAGACAGTTGTTCCACCACAAGTGATGCTGGCAGTGACAGACAGACAGTGATGCTGTTCCACCACAAGTGATGCTGGCAGTGACAGACAGACGGCTGTCCACCACACAAGTGATGCTGGCAGTGACAGTGGCAGGACGCTGTTCCACCACAAGTGATGCTGGCAGTGACAGACAGACAGTCTGTTCCACCACAAGTGATGCAGTGCAGTGACAGACAGACGCTGTTCCACCACAAGTGATGCTGGCAGTGACAGACAGACGCTGTTCCACCACAAGTGATGTTCCACCACTGCTGCGGCAGTGACAGACAGACACGTCGTTCCACCACAAGTGATGCTGGCAGTGACAGACAGACGCTGTTCCACCACAAGTGATGCTGGCAGTGACAGACAGACGCTGTTCCACCACAAGTGATGCTGGCAGTGACAGACAGACGCTGTTCCACCACAAGTGATGCTGGCAGTGACAGACAGACAGGCTGTTCCACCACAAGTGATGCTGTGCAGTGGACAGACAGGGACAGCTGTTCCACCACAAGTGATGCTGGTAGTGACAGACAGATGCTTTTCCACCACAAGTGATGCTGGCAGTTTCAGACAGACAGTCGTTCCACCACAAGTGATGCTGGCAGTGACAGACAGACAGTTGTTCCACCACAAGTGATGCTGGCACAGTGACAGTAGTTCCACCACAAGTGATGCTGGCAGTGACAGACAGACAGTCGTTCCACCACAAGTGATGCTGGCAGTGACAGACAGTTGTTCCACCACAAGTGATGCTGGCAGTGACAGACAGACAGTCGTTCCACCACAAGTGATGCTGATGCTGGCAGTGACAGACAGACAGTGTTCCACCACAAGTGATGCTGGCAGTGACAGACAGACAGTCGTTCCACCACAAGTGAGTGATGCTGGCAGTGACAGACAGACAGTTGTTCCACCACAAGTGATGCTGGCAGTGACAGACAGACAGCTGTTCCACCACAAGTGATGCTGGCAGTGACAGACAGACAGCTGTTTCCACCACAAGTGATGCTGGCAGTGACAGACAGACAGCTGTTCCACCACAAGTGATGCTGGCAGTGACAGACAGACAGGCTGTTCCACCACAAGTGATGCTGGCAGTGACAGACAGACAGTGTTCCACCACAAGTGATGATGCTGGCAGTGACAGACAGACAGACGCTGTTCCACCACAAGTGATGCTGGCAGTGACAGACAGACAGTTGTTCCACCACAAGTGATGCTGGCAGTGACAGACAGACAGTCGTTCCACCACAAGTGATGCTGGCAGTGACAGTCGGACAAGTGATGGCAGTGTTCCACACAAGTGATGCTGGCACAACAAGTGATGCTGGCAGTGACAGACAGACAGTCTTTCCGCCACAAATGATGCTGGCAGTGACAGACAGTCGTTC